AAATCTTGTAAGACCCCTTTTGTTCATGGAGAAATTCGTCATGAACTCGCTCCGGCGGATACGAGTGGATATTATCGGACTTCTACTAGTTAAAACCCCACGGTGTCCTACCTCTTAGTCGTAATACCGATGCTTCGGATTTGGTTATGCATTTAGCAGTTTATCTACTCTTAATTGTTCTTATTGCGTGTTTTTAGAGCATTTAAGCAGTCGATAAAATATTTGATGACATATTACATTTAAAATATTTTAATTTAATATGCTGTATATTATGTCCACAATATTTACATCTCTAGTTTACATATTTTATACATGCAAAATTAATATGGATCCAAAATAGGAATAAAATCCCATTGAATGCAAAAAGAATTATTGACGGTGGCTTAGAATTGATAAATGCGTAATATATACACAAAAAATTCAAACGAATTAAAAATCATCTCTTGACAACTGCCAAGATGTGGTGTGTTTCCAAACTCGTATAGCTGATCTGACTTCTGTTATTTTTTCACTTAATATTCTAAAAAAATATTTATAGATTTTGGACCTTTACAAATTTTTCATAGTAAAGATAAGTTATCTTGATGTCTCCAATACTTATATAATATTCACGATCGCGGGTTGATTATAGATAAATTAGACACATAGATAGCCAATACACTGACAAACTTACTATTTTCCAAGAATATTTTTTGTGCCTATATCTAATTAGTAGGTAAATTATAATGAACTCTGAACGGACCGGACTCAAAATTTTGTAATATGACTTGCAGAAATTGTACATTTGATAATCAAATCCACTTTGGAAGTTTTATCGGCAAATGTTTAGACGTTGTCATGTGGTTATCTTAAAAATATAATTATAATAGAACTAAACGTCTTATCACTGTACTAATTTAGAGCTAGATAAAGGATTCCAACACAATATCAGAACAAACTAGTAGCGACTATGTTCGAAATTTGAATAAAATAATACAATTTTAGTAGTAGGTATTTAATTTCACTTTATACTGATGTCCAGTCGCTTACAGGGTAAACAAAAATAACCGATTCGAGTGCCAAAGTCTTGTAATTAATCCTTAATTGTATTTTTTGTTACATCTTTTTACATCGTTTCACTTTCGCATTGTTTGTAACATCGTATTTTACAGTAGATTCTTGAAATATAAGACACAAAGTATACTTTCCTCATTCTTTTATTCAATATTCCTTTCAGATGCCCGTGTCAACGTAACACTGATAGTCCCATTCTCATTTTTACATCTATACAGTCTGTCTTACCAACTTGCTTATGCACTATTCCATTTAAAAATCAATCAACCAATCAACCCATCAGCATCCTTATATTCTGCGCAATGCTCATCTTCTTAAAACATCACCGAAGCCTAACTGCGGTTGCCAACCCGCCGGCCAAGCGTGGCAATTACTGGCAAAACCCGTCTTATAGGAAAGACCTATGTTCTTTTTTTTTATGCAACTTAGAATAGCAAACAAGCTGACGGCCCACCTGATGAAAAGTGGTAACCGTCGCCTATAGACTTGAGCAGTACCATGGACATAACAGAGTATACTGATTCGCCCATGATACCCCCCATGCGTTGCCATTCCTGAGTGTGACTCGGATGTTATTCCTCTGTACCCTGTAAATTCACGTTATATCCCACCCTTCAAACCAAAACACAGCCATGCAAACACAACTGCTTCACGGTAGAAACACGAATGGGACAGAGGTACCCAAGCAATCGACTTTTGTACAAAGTCTCCCTCTGGTAAGAGGGAGACTTTGTATGATATGATATGGTATGGTATATTTTATCCGAAAGAGACTTTATTACTCAGCCGATTTTGATAAAATTTGAGGTAACTATCATAAAAAATACAACAGAATTGAGAAACTCCTTCTTTTTGAAGTTGGTTGAAAATACTGTCTATGGGTGTTCTACTTATATTTTTACCACAAAGCAGCTGTACTAGTGTTTTGGGATAATCGATCTATGATCATGTTTAACAAGAACATTTAACAAAACTGTGATTTTGCCTCTGTATATTCATTAAATATGTTATTATATATTCTGTAACATTTGTCTTGTCTATATTTTTTTTTGGTTTAGAAAAATTTACATCTCTCTTTCTGGTTTGGTAAAATAGTTAACACGAGTATAATTAAAATTGACCATTATTAAAAAATTAAAATATTTATGTGATGTTTATTATAACAAAACCACAGCGCAAACTCAATCAGTACAAATTCTATCAAAATAAACTACTTATTTATAATTAAGTACTAATAAGAATAAAATAGAAATTTATTTCAAAGTCATTCTCATTATTGATATTCTAATTAGATGAAAATATCAATTTACCTAATAGATTTAGCCTTAATTACTTGTTTGTGACTAATTATAATAAACGTATTATTAATTGATTTAAATTACCCATTAGATATAATTGAATGCAGCTATTTAATCTGTTTTCATAAATAAAATAATATATAAATGCAATTGGATGTTACACACCGCCATCTAGCGCCAAACTAAAAAGAGACTGTACTAAGTATAATACCACAGATAATATACTACTATACGTTTTTTTTATGCGACTTAGAATGGCAAACAAGCTGATAGCCCACCTGATGGAATGATGAAGTGGTAACCGTCGCCTACAAACATGAGCATTATCATGGACATAACATAATATACTGTTTCGCCCATGCGTTGCCATTCCTGAGGGCTCAGGTGTTATTCCTCTGTACCCTGTAAATTCACTGCCATATCCCACCGTTGAACCGAAACACAGCCATGCAAACACAACTGCTTCACGGTAGAAACACGATTGGAACAGAGATGCACAAGGGAACGACTTTTGTACAAAGTCTCCCTCTAGTTAAAACGCACCATATAACTAATAAAAATACTACCTTCTTTTGTAAATACGTATATATTATTCTTTATGGTACACAAACATAATGTTAAAAACGATTAATTTTAAATATAATGTATAAAGGCGAGCTTATCTGTAATATTTTTTTTTTCATAAAAATTATTTATAGAAAATATCCAAACTAATACGAACAAACATGCTCATGAATCAAATATTATATGCTTATACAAACAGTATTGTGCGGGGATCGAATCCGCAACCATTGGAAAGTAAAGCGGTAATTTAAGCCATTCAACCGCCAAGATCATCAGTTAATACAGTTTGTCAGAACGAATCTGGAACACATGACTTCGAATATGAGCAAATATAGGACCTTTTATGCAACTTGAATTGCAAACAAGTTGACGACCCATGCAATGGAAATTTTATAATAAATTCATGTCAATTTCTTTTTGACAACAGAAACACGAGTCGCAACAGCGCTACCTATGCATTATGTGACTTTTTTTCACTTCTTTTGGTATCATCAAAATCTATTCACAAATATCACGTAATACAAACGCAAAAAATATACGCAACTGTAATGATAACCTTCTTCTTTTTGACGTCAATTAAAAAAAAAATCGAGTAAGTGTAAAGTGTAGGTAGATATTTATTCTTATGTTCATACACCGAAGGTTCTTTGCATAATCTATTAATAGGTTTCTGAATTATTTAGATAATATTTAATTTTATTACCTAATACATATGAGATAATAATAACTCCATGCCCTAAACATGTGTTTAGTCTATATTATGTGAAGTAGACATTTTATTTGACAGCCATGGTGGTGCGACGGGGAATTGTTAGTAATGTTGACTACCAGTTCCATAGCTAGTAATATACCCTGATTTAATTGATGTTTATACTGTAGACATAGGTACCTATTTATATTGGTTTGAAGGGTGGGATATGGCGTGAATTTACTGGGTACAGAGGAATAACACCTGAGTCCTCAGGAATGGCAACGCATGGGGAGTATTATGGGCGAAACAGTATACTCTGTTATGTCCATGGTACTGCTCATGTCTATAGGCGACGGTTACCACTTTCCATCAGGTGGGCCGTCAGCTCGTTTGTCATTGTAAGTTGTATAAAAAAAAATTCTGTACAAAGATACATGTGTTTGGCTGAATTATTTGTATTTTCTCAATGATTTCAAATTCCCAATTTAGTTACGGGAACTGGAATTGGTACTGCTTAGTTCCATGTTATTTATATTCAAAGTCCCTTATAAAAACTACAAGAGAAATAAAAAAGTAGAATGTCCTTTCCCGATGGTATTTAAATATTGTAATGAATGCCCGCCTTTGGCCCTGATGCCAGTGATTACAATGAACCCAAATACACTTAATATTTAAATACAGATTTAAATTGCTAATAAATATCGTGTTAATAAAAACGATAAATGGGAATGGGACGTAAGTACCTATTTATAATCAAAAATAATGATTTATAACTGCAGTTGGTGAAAATAACACATTTTATGTTTTCATACTTTCTAGGAAACATAAACATAGTGTGACGTACTCACGTGCTGCTCAAGAAAGAAGCCAATAGTTTTTGCATGCCGTTTGTTATAACAAATATCAAAATATTATAAAAATATAATATTGCATTCATATTTTGGAAAAATCAAGATTGCTTAAAAAGCAGAAATTACTCAATCGAGGTAATAAATTTAGAATAAGCATATTAAAAAAAAGAATTAAAATATCAGGATCTTATTAACCGTTTTTTAAAAAATAGGTAAGTTGTAAGTGGAATAAGGTGGTGCAAACGAGATACTACAATTATAGATCTTTTTTTGACCAAAATAAAATATAAAATGCTCATAAATTTGGGAGATTTGTCCTCTGTGGTATATAAATTCTGAGTACATCATTTCTCACCTCAGGGCCAGCATTTTGCAATCATATTCTTAACATAAGATCTTATCTGGACTGAGTTATAAAAGTTATCAGTCATATTTCACGCGATAAACTCTAAGAACACAATAAACGAATGCAGTAAATTAAACCGAAATTAGTTGCTAATTATTAAAATCTACGAAAACAAGGTATAAAAATAAAACAATCCATAGAGTAAAAAAACATATATTTCCTTTTATAAAGCTAAAAGTTATTGAAAAATTTATATCATAAATAAGGCACTATATTCATAAGTTGTATAATAATGTTATGGCAATATCAAAATTGAGATTCCGCTTGTTTCAACACGATACCTTAAAATCGCATTGGTGACTAATATTGACAAACAATTAAATATATTTTGAGACGTTCTCCAAAGTTATCTCAAGTGAGGAAGTCAATTCACGTTAAGAGGCCCTTAAATAGGAATGCTAATATCGTGCTAGCAAGTCTTAAAATAAAACTTGTACAAATACTTTTAAACCGTCATTTTTTATCATTCATATCAACAAACTGTATTTCTAATTTCTGCTAATATAATCTAATACATTGTATATGTTAAAGATATCGTGCGGGTTTTGTGGTATCACATTATTACTGTTATGTATAAAATGGTTACATTATTATTTACTTATTTATTTACTGTGGCATAAGACATTAAAACTTAAGAAGCTGAATAAAATTTCTACACAGTAAGCCAGTGTATAGTGGAGCTGATTTGACTCATAACCACCTGATGTTTCCCCCAACACTAAATCAGTATGTGATCGTAATGAATACACAAATATATGAATATACAGCAATTTTATATTTATATTATGTATTTGAAGTGTTCATGGATCTAGATTTAGATCATCTAGATATAAACTTATCTGCAACTTATTAATGGCTTCAATATGTCTAAACTACTTATATGTTACTAGCTGATCAGGCAAACATTTTCCTGCCATATAAATTATTTTTTCTGGATAAGGATACTGTAATCATTAGGTGATATGAAATATACTTTACGACCTATTCTCATACCTGATAATTTCATAAAAATCGGTCGAGCTGTTTCAGAGGAGTTCGACCACAACATGACACGAGATTTTTATATATAAGATTTATGTAACGTTTGATTATCAAAAATAAATAAATAAAAATATACACGTTGTTTCTACGCGACAATGTCGAATTTTTTTTAGTGCAGACTTTGTTTTTTTTTAATATATTTTAACACAATTTTTTTTTTAATTATCACATAATGAGAGAAGAGCTTTAATGAGAATGGGTCATAATAATTCATTTTTGCAATGTCATTAGAAGCCACCAAAACTGGCAATACTTTTGTTCGAACATTTGGCACTTTGAGACTGGATTATTTCCTACCTTGCCGCAATATGCGCGGCGTATTTACTCTTATCTAGTGTTCAGCAAGAACAATAACTTATGTTTAACTATTTCTATCTAATAATACGTTAAATTTTAATATTAAATATATCTATCTAATATTACAATACAAGAGATGTAATCTCAATAATTTAATACCGACTTAGTAGGTATGAAAGGGACGGATACCAATAATAAGTTTAAAGGAAATTTTGTTATTGAGTATTGAAAAAATAATTAAACAATTCATTATACACTTTTTGACTACCACAAGAAAGTATTTTGAGACACCTGCATTCTTCGACTTGCTATAAGCAGATCGGGCAGCCAATTCTGTATTTCTGACATTCTTTTAAATACAATTTCTTTGATATATAATTATTCGTAACATAGTATGTGGTCTTTCTCTTGATCAAACAGATAATTTTACGACTATAGTTTCTAAGGAAATTTACAGCCGCCACAGGTTTTACCCAACACATATAATGTCATTGCTTCACATTATTATAAATTGAAAACTATTCATGATATTAGAAATATAAATTAAAATACTGAATGATTCTTAATTGTACAACAAAGTCTATGTTACGATTATATTGGTTAAAAATAAGTAGATAAATATAATTTCAAAAATTGTATAAAAAAAACTTAAGCATAATAATTGTTAAAATTGCTAAATACCTCCTATTAAATTAAGTTTCCCTTACCATGTTACAAAATTACAACTAAAGCATCAATTCTGAATTCAAATGTCTACATTACCTATTTCTAAAACTAAAATTTCATTTGATATTACATTAATAATATTTCAAAGAATTCTTCGTCTCTATTGACCTTGATATTGATAGATTTGAAAAAAGCTACAGTTTAGTTTCTTGCCCATTCTTCTTAGCTGAAATGGTATCCTGAATGGATGGTAGAATTATAAAAAAAGAAATATAATTTAAAAATTGCTTATACTTAAATTACTTGATTAAAAATTATTCTTATGTTGAAATTGTTATGGTAATACACTATATTTGCAACAGTATCCAGTTATAATTGTTTTATATCTGGTTGTTGATGATCCGTGATACCAAAATTAAAATTTTAGTTTGAGAGATAAATGTAGGGAATAACACCTCAGAATTAACCATTATACTTATAATTATATTATTAATTAACTCTAGACAAATAAGGCAATTTTTAATAATACAGTTTGCAGCATCTATTACTTGTAAAAAAAATAATAGATTCTGATGTCATTCTCTAAACTTGTAGTCGTTAGATTAAATAGATGGAAGACTTATGTTAGCTTTAACACTAATTTATATGTATAAAAGTAGAATATATTAATATTATATTTAAAAGTATTCAGCAATTTGTGTAAATATTTTTCTCTTAAAATGCACGGCTCATGATATTGTTTTAAAAAATATGGCAGATCATTTTGTGATGTTACATCTAATATTAACTTATTATTACAATAGTTATAAACAAATTTATATGGTTATTTAATTATAGTTATATTATTTCATTATGAATGATAGTTTTTGAAACAAATTCTGCTTAATTGCAAAGAAATATTTTAATGATTAAAAATAAAAAAAAAGATACACGATTTTACATTCACAATGAAAATGCCATCGTTGTTTATTGTCCAATTTCATGAGTACTATTAGAGGAAGTACTATTATAAAAGGTATAATTGCTGTTGGTTTGATCCTACTATTACTATACTCTATGGCAACCATTAAAAAAAAAACATTTAAGTAGTTAATTTAAAAACGATTGTTACATGGAGGGTATGTAAAGCTGTCATCTTGTAAGCCAAGTCTAAGTTTACAAATACATGTCCGGCTTAGTTCCTATCGATATCAAAGAACAGCTCAATCAAGTAGTTATAATTAATAACACAATTAATATATATTCACTATATTCGACTCAATTGATTTGAAATATCAGTTATGATTATTACATTGACCTTTACTACAAAAATCTTACTCAATACAGTTTCTTTACTGTAGAAACTGTAAGCTGTCACTTGCATCATGCTACAACATATGAGTGTAATCATAACTTTCTTGATCCAGATCTAATGTTCTACGAGTAAATTAATTTATAATTTAATGGAATTTCTAAAGGAAATAGTGTTTAAAAATTACGTATTATATTTCCCTTTAATATAAAAAGTAAAAACGACTTATCTTGCTGGACAAGGCGGAAGTATCCATAATTTTACATGCGTGTAAAAAAGGTCAAAGTTCATGAAAACGATTAGCATTCATAACGATTCGTAGTGTGAATAACGGTGGTATCTAAACAGCTGAGTGACCATATGCTTATGTTTATGTATATTAAAGCGTTAACGATTTCATTGAGAAGAAAAAAATTAGATATTACAATAGGGAATGTTAGACAGATTGGGTGTCTACTTCCTCGCCGTAATCAAGGTCGTCGTAGCTGAGGTCGTCGTCCAAGATGAGACTTGGCGACCCCTTGCCGTTAGGACACGCCAGACACCTGAAAGCAATAGAAACAAACATATGAAACATGTGATACGATATATTTTTTTTATAATAACAGAAATTATATTTATTCAAGTAAATTAAACTTTAACCATTTCTGAATAGTCATTTATATTTCTCCGTTATTCTACTGTACAATTCGGAATGCAATAATATCAGCCAAGAAGAATGTGGAAAAATTTTTACAAAGTATAAATAATTAGATACAATGATAATCACAAAAAGCATTTTAGAGAATTTATATAGAAGCAATAATTAAGTCAATGCCAGTATCTAAAATACAAAACCGCGATGCGGCGCATTGAACGACTTTATGACTTAATTATGTAACATATTTTCAAACAAAATAAAAAATAATAAACTTAGAAGTATGGAATATTGAAAAAATCAAGTCTTCCTTATTCATAACCAATGTCAAAGACTTCATAAATTGTTATGAAATGTTTTGTTTATTGCGATAAATTTTTAATTACAGAAAATCCACTTTTCCTGTAATTGAGAATTTATCATTAAAAAAAAAAACTAATAGTTAAAATAGGAATGTTAAGACGGTAATGTTATTAATATCCGTAATAAATGGTAATTATAATATGATTTGCATTGTTATAACACGTGCAAGTTATTTGATATGTGATCAGTGAACACTTAATATTATATTAATAATATTTATGCTAATGACCACTGCTGACTGTAGAGGCCGTCTCGCAGGTGCCTATACCTGTTTGTAATCGCATGCAATATTATACGATTACATTAAAATTCTTTTAATGTGGACTAATATAGTATATATCAGTGGTAAAATCTTCCTTACGTGAACACCCTTATAATATCACGTAATATTTAAAACATATTACTATAGCTTAAAATATGTTAACGCTTATATTGAGATACGTCAGAACCATTTTGTGAACAGTTTCATACGTCCACATTTTTTTTATCAAACTTTTACATCCAACGTATTAGGGGACGATCTTATAATTATTTCTGAGATTCTTTCCAATTTAGTTAATTAACAGTGTTAATTATCTTTAGATAGTCGAATGAGAAATTTAAATTGTCATATAATTTTTGCAACAGCTTGATTCAATCTTCCGACTTTTTTAGATGATAAATCGATAGAAAACATTCAATCAATAAATAGTGTACGTGCAAAACATACGCGTATATATATATACACAGTTATATATATAGGTAATGTTTGTAGTACATTTAAGACGAAGCAGATGTTCACTTACGCAGTACCGGCTAACTGATAAACAAGATATTTTGAGATCGATATTTAATGTTTCTATTACGGTAACGTGTATGTTAAAACAACTTTTACTCTTCAAATAAGATTGTCACAATTATGGTCCAAATTATACTTAGTATTATACTATTACTGGCAAGTTTACCAGATTGAATTATTTTCTACTTATTAACACACAACAAATTTTATATATATATATATATATATATATATATATATATATATATATATATATATATATATATATATATATATATATATATATATATATATATATATTATAAATAATATTACATATATATAATTATAAACATTTAATTGTGTGTAAAACAACAAATAATGTAATTATATGGGGTTGATCATAGAGGACTTATCTTGTTTTACCATCCATTGTTACCTTTGTATCACAATTTAAATAAATAAATATACACTGACGTCATTTCATCCGCGTAAAAGATAATTAATTATATATTTATTCATAATTTATATTATAATTACGTATATATTTATGTTTTTCTACAACATGGAACGGTAAATAACTAACAGCTAAATCAATGGAAAGTAGTAACAATCTTCTATACATATGAACAAGAAAAAACCGAAAGACAACATTGTACATGCAAGCGTGGCGGTAGAAATATAAATAAATAATAATAATACGATTAAAATAATTATTTAGATAATGAAATATATTTATTTACCTGCTTTCGTTAATGCCATAATATAAACACTTCTCGCCAACACACTCGCAGCATCCATCATGGAACCATCTGAAATTATTCAAATATAACATTAGGCTACAGGCTATACCCACCCCGGAATTGTACGGTGCCCACTCTCAGATGAGAGATGCGAGCGAAGCTTTGCAAATATGTTTAAGCGTATATATGTACCTTGCCTTATTTAAGAGGATAGGCCTCGCCCTGGAGAATAATCTTAAATACATCAATGGGACAGAGATAACCTTATTTTTTTTAAATTTCCATCTAATGAGCAATTCAAATTAAAAAGGCTTTTTCAAAGACAACAAAACGAAAAGCCCTTTAGGTGCTAAGAGGTAATAAATTCACCTTCACATTTATTATGTTAGTAGCCTTTACCTGCAACATCGCCCACGTGATTAAGATACGCTGATCGATCGGAATAACTAATAACATATGTCCTTCTCTATCTCAAATAGTACTTATATAATAAATGTAATTATAATTTCATTAATAGAGCTGTTAAGGCACCAAAAGGTAACAAACAAACTTATTAAAAACTAGGAATACTGCAATTCCGCGGCTTTGCTTGTGTTAAACAGTACATTATTCTATATGTTAAGTTAGAATATAACCTATATACTAAACTATGTGTTAAATTTCATTTAAATCCGTTCAGTAGTTTTTGCATGCAAGAGTAACAAACAATCATTCTTACATCCTCAAAAACTTTCGCGTTTATATTGTTTGTGTATGATTATAAATAAGATTTATTTAATATAAAAAAATAATAATAAATAAGAATTGGATAGACACTATTTTTAAAACTTATGTTCATTTTTTATTCGATGTCTAAGACGAGGTGAGACGCTGTGACGCAAGGCGCTAAACGCCCCCTGAAGTCACGTCTGGTTGAAGTCAAAACAATTGTCGGAAACAACAAAAACATAGTGAGTTCATTAACTTCACATTACATATATATATATAGATATTGGATAGATACTAATAATAAATATCAATAATATTTGTACATATACCGTAAACTATTGGCGCCCATAGAGCGACATGAGGCGCGGCATTTGTCACTGGACATGCACTGCGAGAGATACGCGACAGTGCAGTTCAGTGTGATGATGTCGCGGCTGATTGGCTCCGGCTCTTGTTCAATACTCTCTGCAATGATTGTTTATTTATTAAACATCACGTAATTATATCATAGTTTGTTCTAGAACTTAAAACATAAACAAACGAATATTCAACCGAAGATAACATGGTCTGATATCCAATAGTAGTACAAATCAAAGATAGATTAAATTATTGAATCTTAGATTATATAAAAAGAGTGTCTCTACAGAAATACTTCGAGTAAAACGGGTCAACTTTTTCATACAATTTTGCGTGATAAATAGTTATGAGGATTCCTTTATAACTTCTATATTTACTTTGTCTTATAAATTCTGTATCTTTTTATTACCTAAACACTCATTTTATTTATTAAATAATATGTCAGGATACTTTTTAAGCGTAAAAATATAGAATACTGATAAATAAAACATGTCAGCTAATTGACAATTAGCTAATAAAAATTTACCCGTTTTTGAGGCTCTATTTATATAAATCTAAGGATTGAATGTTTCCATTTCATACTAATTTCATTTAGAGACTGTTTCTGTGACAATCTCTACAAATTTTGGTTAGCTTTTCATTAAATTCTATTGATAATGACTACTTATAGTCGGAATGGAAAATCACGGTCGATCTGTTTGGGGGCTTTCATAATCATTGATTTTAAAGATCTAATAAGCTTCAACATACAGTTGCTAATGTTTTTTACAATTGATAAAATCACGCCACTATAATGTCATTGATATATAATAAAATCTTTCATAGCTTTTAGGCATAAACAATACTACAGGTTAGAATGTGCCTGAGAAAGAGAGTGGTACTCCTGAGAAATATGGTCTTAAATAAGAGATCAAGAAGTGAAATAATAATACAAGTAAATATGATTTAGCTTATTATACATCTTTATTGGATATATTTTGGGACAATCTATTGTTATATATCTATTAGTGCGTGACCAGGATATGAGCTGTAAGAAAAAAATATGCACACAATATGATGTATACTAAATTAAAATAGCTTGAATTGTGTACACAATAAGAAGCAAGAGACAAATTCACTTTCATATTTTCTATATTAATATAGTAGTCTCTCTCATAGCATTTTAATAATATTTATAAAATTGCAACTCTAAAATTAGAACAGGAACAAGATTATAACGTATTGTTAAACCCATCCCAGAGCAGGTAATAAATTCTCAAAGAATGACTCACTCTACTCTGTGGTGCCTATATTCAATCACTGATTTTTTCTTTTTCTGCCAATGATGTGAGCTTTCGTATTTGTTAGGGCATAATAGATGTAACAGTGCAGCTGTTGAGTTTATCTATAACTTATCAGTACTGAGAAATTAGTTTGCATTATCAACTGTTATATTTTTACACAGAACTATATTGTTTGACTGCAACTATTTCACTGAGTCACTTTTGATATTTTGTTAAATTTATTACTTAATTTGCAATTTATCGCTTGTGAAGAGAAATTATATAATTTAACAGTAATTTAACCTAACTTCACGCCAAGCTTCTTGTTGAATAGGCAGACAGTAATTTAATATACTTAACACAATTTAAACATATTTTGTAAATATCAATTTGCTCATTTTGATCCTATAGTCTTCAAAACTGAATTCAGGGTTCAAAAAATACTTGTATTGTATAACATATAAAAAATATACTAATGTTTGAATTGGAAAAAAATCCTCCATTTTCATTTCAGATGAACAGAAGCAATTTCTAGAAAAGTTTGATATAAATTAGTTACTGGTTTATAAATTAGTGGAAATTTATTATTGCTGACAGAAACTTTTTTACAAAACAATATCTACGTAAATTATACATTTTGTTAAAGGAGTAAATTCTTTTTATAAAAAAAAATTGCAATTGATAATGCATAAGATAAACACTAAAAAATTAAACAAAATTGAGAAGCTTCTCTCTTTTCGAAGTTATGAAAAATACAAGAAAAATACAATAAAATTACTTACGCAAATGATACACCACTTGTTTTTCAGAAGCAGGCCTGAACTTTGACAGGTCAAAGTCCACAGGGTAAGTTATGGATAACCACCTTTCCCGAGGATCGGCTTCACTTGTCAAAGCTGAGAAGAGTCCAGGCACACCATCAACCAGTTCCTCCACATAGGACGATTTGGATAGCTCGGTGTGTGTATCATTTGGTTTTGGACACATGTCTGTAGCAAATAAAAATATATATATATGTATATACAAACAAAATTTATAATTTGATAGTTAAAGACATTTGTTGATTATCTAAACGTTCCTGAGGAATATCCTGTTATACCTCCATACCCTGTTATTTAATTGCTCTATTCCATCTTTCAGACCAAAATACAGTAATGCAAGCACAGAAACTACACAAAATAACAAAACACTTAGGACAAAGGAACCCAAGTATTAGTCTTATAAAAAGTATATATATAAATATATTCCATCTCTGGAACTTCTTACCCCTAATTTAAGAGGCAGGTAAAATCTCATTAAGTCCTTATCTCTCCAATTTGCCTTGATATTTGTTGAGTATATTACATAAACATATATATATATATATATGTTTATGTAATTTAGTCTTATTTTTATATACATGATATTTAGAATAATATTTTTTTTATATTTACTGTGTCTAACTTGTACTATCCACCTTTCTGTACCTATTTACTATTTATACCAGTTTGTCTATAAGAGATTGCTTTTAGCGATAAGGCTGCCTTTTATATATTCTATATAAAAAGTCCTTATATAAATCTCTTTTGTACACAATAAGAAATCTATTATTATTGTATGTGGTAAAACAAATAACAATTTATATACCTACTAACATACATATAAAGTAACTATTAATAATATGCAAATTATAAACAAAGTATACAAATATATACAGATTGATCTTTACATGGTTTCTACTAGAAACCATCATGTTTAATTCTTGTGGATGTAATCATAATGGACATAATGGGCTGATCTACTTTTATCTTCACCTATCAACACTCACTGGTGCCCTACCAGCGTATATCGATAGCACAGGTGAGGATACCATATCATTTTTACCTATTAAAAAAAGCCAAAATTCTACTTATATTATAAATATGAAAGTTTATAATAATGTAACCTTGTAATTTAATCATGCTTAAACAACTGAACTGATTGAATAAAATTTGGTACACAGGTAGGTTATCCCTAACAGATAAGGTACTTTATATATTGATTTATGCAATGTCATGAAGAACAGCTAGTAATAAATATAAAGACAATTAATAAACTAAGTACAAAATAAATAAGTACACAAAATATGGGTATAAAAATGTGAAATGATTGATTTTTGTAAATTTAAAAAATATTATTTTTAATAATAAATATTAGAATGAAACTTACCCACACAGCTGCAACATTCATCATACAAGTAACTGAGGCAGTTAAAGCAGTCCTTGCAACAAGAGCAATCTTTTAAATCACATTTACATGATTGTGTTAACATACATTTGGACACTACACTAGCACATATTGCTTCGTTGCACGCGTAAATAACAGGTATAACACATAAAAATGCATAAATCAAATAAAATTTAGAAGCCATTCTAATCTCAAATTATTACAAACTCGTAAACTCTAAAATATACAGATTGATACGAGAAATATAGAAATTTTACAATTTGGTAATAATTATAAGAAAGTTTTAGAAGTAGTACTTTGTTGATAATTAGTAATAAAACATTTCCGGTGGAATATATAAAACAGAATAAAAACCATATATTACGTAGTAAATTGGAAACGAAGTATAAAACAGAATAAAACAAAATGTTTACTGAAGCTTGTCAGTTGAGGAGGTAAAGAACGCAAAAATAACTAATCAAATCAATCACTACGTTATTTAGGACTCGACACTATCGTTATATTGTTGACTCTAGAAAATAAATCTATGCAATCATTTAGAAGTATCAAAACAATAAATAAATATTCATAATACCGTATTTTACAATATTTCATCTCTAATATACATCTGTTTGAAAATCTACGTTCATAAATCTTGTAAAGTATCTAATTATTTTAAAGTAAAAAAATTGCAAACTTATTTCACTGGTTACACAAAATAGAGAATTATTTTTTTCATAGTGATACATACCTGGAAGGAAGATTGTAAAATATTACTTTAGCCTATGACAGTGTTGCCAAAAAAATAATGATTGGATATCAAATTTATATTGATTTTTACTCGATTAATCGTTTGATTTGAAATAAAATTTTATCAATTAAATTATGCAATTGATAAAGTATGACTAATTCTCTATAACAGCAAGCGCTGCCAATAAATAAAAATAATTACATGGTATAATTACTTTCCAATTGTTACAAACATTAAATCACTTTACAAATAGCGCTATATGAGATCAAGTGACAAAAGAGAATTCGTAGTAATTATTGTACACAGTCAATATATAGTATAAAATATTTATATGTTTATATTTTTCCTATCCTATTACATATAATCTAGACTAATTTAAGTCAAATGGGAATAGGCTAATTGTGAGTCTGCGAGCTTTATTTTAGAGTAAATTAATACTTTCGATCAGGTGAGATCGTGATTAATCATGGGATCCTTCAATAGTAAAAATAAGAAAAATCTTTTACTTACGCTAAAGAACGTGTTTGCATTGATATTTCAGTCAGTTAATTAGCATCCTCTTTTATATGTATAGGTAACAATATTTTAAAGGCGTAACCCTTGTGTAACCTTGAATTTGGAAATACTACATTATCAATAGATTGCAAAATTTCCCTTCCGTTAACTCCTATCCAATTGATTATAATAGATATTTGTTTTTGTAATAGGGTAAACACTTAGATCGGTTAGCGAAGTGATGACTTACATTATTGATCTAAGTTTTCTTCATTTTAGTTAGCTCGACACTGATTTTTTTCGTCTAAGACTACCGAAGAGAGAGGGATTAGTTGATCAAAAATTTCCATCTGTTAAGTTTCAATTGTGAATTTAAATATGGAAACGAAATTGTTTGTAATAGGGTCCGACAGTCTCATTACTAGCAATATAGAGTATATTGCTCTATACCAGGACAACCTTCACACGGTCTCTTCCTTGGAAATTATTCCTTTTAATACCTGATGAAGTACTTTGTTATCTATAATCAACCAATCCCTATCTACCTAACCTATCGTCAGTTACAGGTGCCCCGCCAGCGTATACCGATAGATACCATTCAAATTAACCAATAAATAGGCTGTTGGAGAGCAGCGCCTGACAATTACATTCGTACTTTTTAAAAAAACTCTTCTATTTGTGATTCCTCCTATATAGTTGACTTGCGGTCTACATTGTGTTTCTTTCTGATTTAAACTGTGTTCGTAACTTTTGACACCATACTGTGGTTTGTAGGTATATTCCAATGCTTGGCCTGTAGAGAATGCCATTAGGATTACCAGAGGGAGACTTTGTACAAAAATCGATTGTTTGGGTACGTCTGTCCCATTCGTGTTTCAACCGTGAAGCAGTTGTGTTTGCATGGCTGTGTTTCGGTTTGAAGGGTGGGATATAGCGTGAATTTACTGGGTACAGAGGAATAACATCTGAGTCCTTAGGAATGGCAACGCATGGGGGGTATCATGGGCGAAACAGTATACTCTGTTATGTCCATGGTATTGCTCATGTCTATAGGCGACGGTTTCCACTTTCCATCAGGTGGGCCGTCAGCTTGTTTGCCATTCTAAGTTGTATAAAAAAAGGATTAAACTCGCGTTTTTATTTCATGTTTTATTGGTCAATAAATTAAGAATCTGAAGTATGAATAAGTATTTAAAGTAGTCAGTAAAAATTTATCAATGTTTAATAAATAAATAAAATGTACTCAATAAATGGATTTATTTGTAAAGGTACATTGAACAGTTGCTAAGTGGTCAACGTACAATTCCCCACCACCATTGGTTTTTTATGTATCTATATCTAAATACTGATTATTAGTTGGTATCTACGTGATAGTACGTACCTACAATAACAATACAAATATCATATTACATAGATTCCATAAGTGGGGTTTTGTAATCAGATTTGTGTTTCAGTTATATGTTAATATTAATGATTAAGACATAATTAATTAGTACAACCCATTAAGTGGCTGATTATTTTGGTTACCACCATGGTTAGCACGGTACATACCTAATTTTCATATGGAAAAAAAAATATTAAAAATAAATTAGACGTTGTTTTATATTTGTATTACAACAAACATTTAAAAAAAAAAAGAACGACTATTCCTTATTATATACCTATAATGTTCATAACAAATAAAATATTAGGTAAGTACTACATAATTTATTTTTTAGGAGGCAACGATCTTTGTTTCCTTGACAGCCGTGTTGACCGTGGTGTCAGCTTATAAGAATCCACACTATGAAAACGGGCGGTCAGTCAACGTGCATCTCTTCGAGTGGAAATGGGATGACATCGCGGATGAGTGCGAGCGCTTCCTGGGCCCTAGGGGATATGGCGGTATACAGGTTAGCTTATAATTACATATAGGTACTTGTAACTCATGTGGTTAGGGGTTTTTTTAATGGATGATAATGGAATGGTAACCCCAATTGCACTAACGGTATACGCTAGCTGATGTGAGTAGGATTATTTTGTGTAACAAGTGTCTAAGTTGTCTACATTGTACACGAAGCCACTTACCTGACAATCGGTATACGTGCCCTCCAGAGCACGAAATAAATGATGATAATTTTTAAAAAATCAAAATGTTATTTTGAAAATTCTGTTAATACAAAATATTACCTATTTCTAATATTTATAAAGTTATTTATTTATTTATTTCAATTAGGCATACCTAGTGCTCAATCTGAAATACGATGAGACAACAAACGTTCAATTGTTAATGTGTCCAATGTAAAATATGTACAATAAAGATTTTACAATACGATACAATACGTTTATGGCCACTTCTAAAATCAGTACGAGGTACGTTATACTAAGTTTATGTCTAAAATACCTTGACCGGAGGTAATTTAGAAAAGTTCGTTTCTGAAAATTCGACTTACCGATAATCTATTACGGTATTTCTTATTTGAAGCTGTATTTACATTCGATGATTCAAAATTTCAAAGCAGGATCTATACACACATATAAAAATGTACGACTTTTATTGTTTTTATATACTTCTATAGCTTTTGAGTTAGTACATGTTTTTGGATAGATTTCACCACCGAATGAAAACGTAGTACTATGGACGTATAACCGTCCGTGGTGGGAACGCTACCAACCCATGTCGTATAAGCTGGTGACACGATCAGGAAATGAACACCAGTTCGCTGACATGTTGCGACGGTGTAACGCTGCTGGAGTTAGGTAATTATATCTTTATCATCATCATATCAGCCTTTAATTGTGCCACTGCTGAACATAAGCTTCCCCCTTGGGGAGGTTTGTCAGTAGTTGCCACGCATGGCAACCGCAACTAGGCTTTGGCGATGTTTTAAAAGGGACACTGCTGCTTATCCCTCGCACTTCCTTAGTCGCCTCATATAACACCCACGAGAAGGAAGGGGTGGCCTATTGTATACTGGGACCACACGGCGATATTTAAATTAATTATACCTAACTAGACGGTATTTTGTTGTCAAAGAGCTAAAGTTTATTATGGCTCGACCACATTTTTATGAGTAGATATGTGACAAACGACTATTGTGCGTGTGTCTTGCTCGTTTATTCTTCACGAATGTACTTGTATGTACGTAAATTGGGGTTGCTTTCTGAATGGATGCTTCAATATAGGACAAACGAGAATGTCATACTTCATCATATTAAATTACTTTAAAGTAATCCGAATAAATATCTGTAGAATATTATATTCACCTGGTCTTACCAAATTGTTATCTCATTGCAACAATTATTAATAACGAATAATTAAATGCAGTGCAGGTGGCTCAGGACCATTCATGGCAGTCTATGGGGGAGGTGTATATTCAACAGTGGACGAATAACGACTGAGATGATGATGATGAATAATTAGAAAGAAAGAAAAAAGATCCGTTCAAGTATGGAGAAGTCTTTGTGGAAACCAATAGCACCAATTCTTCTAATTACACCTTACCTCCTAAAAAAGTTTTAAAAATACAGATAAAATCGAGAACCTACTTTTAGAAGTCGCTTAAAAAGAGGCTATTATTGCAGGATATACGTGGATGCGGTAATAAACCATATGACTGGCGAGCCTCCTGAGAATGTGGGTACCGCAGGCAGCACAGCAGTGTTCGGAGAGTGGTACTATCCAGGGGTTCCATACACACGGGATCACTTCAACTGGCCGCATTGCGTCATCGATGGTATGGACTACGTGAATAACGCATTTAGGGTAAACATTGTGAACATTTATATACTTTTAATTAGTACACGTACATGCCAAGTAAAATTATATAGTATATAGTAAAAATTTGATACCATGTAGTAAAAATGCGACGCAATAATGAAAATCAAGGCATTTAGCTCAAAGATGAAAATAACAATATCCAACGTTACTGATTATTAATTTCTTGTTGACTGGGAAAATTTAAATTTTCCTACTTGAGTATAAATTTTATATAACCATATTATCAACAACGGCATGATCAGTATATTAGGTTATTATTATATCACGGGTATTACATGGCATTCTGTCAATGGTGCATGATGCCTTTAATGTCAATAGGTGACAAATCCACTTATAAATATATTCGTTATTATTAATAATAAGTATACATTTTTACATATTATGTATTACAGGTACGAAATTGTGAACTCGTCGGATTGAAGGATTTGAATCAAACTGACGAGCACGTCCGGAATATGATAGTAGACTTCATGAATAAATTGATAGACTTGGGTGTTGCTGGTTTCAGGTAATAGATACCTCTATGTGTTGGTCATTGAAGCTACTAATAAAGTTAAATAGGGGGGAAAGGGATTGTTAGTAATGTTAGTAAGGTCCAATTGTCCCATTGCTAGCAATACACCCTATCAGGTCGACCTCCACGCGGCTCCCCTGGAAATCGTCGTAGTTAATTCTAGTAGAATTCGTCACAATGGGTTAACTGACCTGTCTTTTCATCCTCATCTGTCATCCCTCACTGGTGCCTCGTCAGTGTATCGCGATAGCGCAGGCGTGGTTACCATTCCATTATCAGTCATAAAAAAAGTTAAATACTCTTTTATACTAGGATGGTAAAACTAGTAGGGGCGTGCTTCGATTGGTCTCGTACTGCTTTTACTGTTGTGTTTCTATCATGAAATAACAGCTCAGTGTTCCGTTTTGTAGAATATCTTACTTCGAATCATATTCCTGAATTGATTTTCTAAATTTCAATACTGTGTAAGTCTAGAATTTTAATTTGACATTAGCGTATTTACAGAATCGACGCAGCTAAACATATGTGGCCAGAAGACCTCAGGATTATTTACAATCGGCTTCATAACTTGAACACTGATCACGGATTCCCAGAAAACGCTCGACCGTACATCTACCAAGAAGTTATTGACTACGGTGGTGAAGCCGTAAGCCGAGATGAATATACTCCTATAGGTGCTGTTACGGAGTTCAAAGTTGGCATGGAACTTAGTAATGCATTTAGGGGAAATAATCAACTTAAGTGGTTGGAGTCTTGGGGTCCACAATGGGGTCTCTTGGCCCATGAAGACGCTTTAATTTTTATTGACAATCATGATAATGAAAGAGGTCATGGCGGTGGTGGTGGAATTCTTACATACAAAGAACCAAGACCTTACAAAGCGGCGATTGCTTTCTTATTGGCTCATCCGTATGGAGAGCCACAGATTATGAGTAGTTTTGGGTTTGTCGACTCCGAGGTTGGCCCACCGATGGACGCACAAGGAAATATCATCTCGCCCTCCATTAATTCAGTAAGTTGAAGCAAAGTTCAGAAATTCGAACATTCTTTTATATAATATTCTAATCAGGATTTAGAGAAACTTTTGATACTTTTAAAAATTATAGCAAATTTTTATAGAAAATTTTAATATCAGTGCCATGTTTGTGCATTATTTTTAAGTGGAGGGAATAACTTGTTATAATCATCATCGTTATATCAGTCGTTAATTGTCCACTACTGAACATAGGCCTCCCCTAAAGACTACCATAAGAAACAGTCTTGAACCAAAAGACTGTGGGCCACTACTTTCTCATATTTGGCTTTGGGAGGTTTTATCTAGAAAAATTAGAATTAAATAATTATTTATTTGTACCTAGGATGGTTCTTGTGGCAACGGATGGATATGCCAGCACCGCTGGAGGCAAATTTACGCCATGGTAGCGTTCAGGAATGTGGCTTCTGGCACGGGCCTTAATAACTGGTGGGATAACGGAAGCAACCAAATAGCTTTCTGTCGCGGTAGCAATGCGTTCATCGCCATTAACAATGATTACTGGGATCTGAATCAAAACTTACAAGTGAGTTCGTAACTTTTTAATTTTTTTTCAGGTATTGTATCATATCTAATCGTAGCAATTTAAAAATCGATATTATAGAATGTGTTATACAATTAGTATTCATTATGTCTGTGATTATAAAAGATGATCAGTAAAAATATAAGTTCCCATATACATGTATATGCGGCGCACCTTTCCTTCAGCTATTAATTATAATAACATTTATGTTTAGCTTTTACATGTTAAAAGAGATCACTACATCTCATAAAAATTTTAATAGTGTGTCTGTGTTTTGTGTATGAAAGAAAGGAACAATTGCATTATTTTATATTTAGTTAAATTTGTCTTGTACTAAAAACTTAATTGCACCTCTAACGGATGGTTTCTAATATTACGATTTTCATATAAACTTGTTGAAGACGTAAAGTCGTTAGTGACGTAAATCTTTAAAACACTGACCACTCTGAAGTGATGTAAAGGATTTTGATTTTTTTTTCTAATTTCTAATATCCTCAGACTTGTCTCCCAGCTGGTACATATTGTGATGTGATATCAGGAGACAAGGTGAACAACACGTGTCAGGGTAAATCGGTGACGGTAGGCAGTGATGGCCGAGCGAACATCTTTGTAGGTGCCACCGAATACGATATTGTACTGGCCATACACGTTGGCCCAGAGGTAAGTGAATTAGTGATGCATATTTGTACAGAAATTGAAGTAGTACTTCAATTTGTATGAACACTAATCATTACACTATTAAACTACATGCCTCTTACCTATTGATCTTACCAAAACTATTTTTTTTTATCATTCTTAGAATATTGAATAAGCTGACGGTCCAGCTTTTTTTTTTTATACAACTTAGAATGGCAAACAAGCTGACGGCCCACCTGATGGAAAGTGGTAACCGTCGCATATAGACATGAGCGGTACCATGGACATAACAGAGTATACTGTTTCGCCCATGATATCTCCCACGCGTTGCCATTCCTGAGGACTCAGGTGTTATTCCTCTGTACCCAGTCAATTCACGCCATATCCCACCCTTCAAACCGAAACACAGCCATGCAAACACAACTGCTTCACAGTTGAAACACGAATGGGACAGAGGTACCAATCGAGTTTTGTACAAAGTCTCCCTCTGGTGGACAGTGGTAATCCTCACCTATAGATATGAATAACACCATGGATATTACAAAATTAAGTATTATATCTATGGTATCATTCTCTCCTCCTACGTTATCATCTCTGAAGTCTAAAATATTATGCTTTCGTGCTATTTATTTATAGAAATCTCTCTTAATAAACCCATTCAAATATAAGGAAATAGTATTTTGTAAAGTTTGTTATGCTTAAAACTATCTGGTAATAATATAAATTGTTTCAGAGTCTCCTATAAAGATTTTACAACATTGTGATGGCATCATCATGGGTTTGTAATATATTAGATTTTTAAGTACTGATTTGTAAACAAAAATATAATATTAAGCAATAAATGTGTTTTTATTTCAAGGTGTTGCAACCGTAATAGTTAATATAGATCGAGATATATCTACTATTATTTTATCTGTGTGCCACTAGACAGTACCTCTAGTGGCTTCCTAACTGCTCCTAGATGGAATTTGAAACATTACGAACATAGAAAAGAGTACCCAATTAACTTAATTTACGAGTAACTATGGACGGTATCATTAAAACATTAGTAAGCCTTTTAATAAATATTTATAGATAATAAACTGTATACATTATCTCCTTAGATGACTTAGGTGAACTGTCACTAATTAGAATTTAGTCGGTCGTAGGGTTGCACGTGATGTCTGAGTAATTACAATATTTTAAGGTTATTGCCACTATCACTTAGCATTATTTACTATAAAAATATACCATATCATGCTATAAAAATTGTAATTGCCATGCCGCAGCCATAATGCACTGTATCATTTAGCGCTAGACTCACCTAAAGCTTTATAACTTTATAGTACACTTAATTGTATTATATTGTATTGCAGGTAGGTACATAAAAAAAGTCTATTATAACGTATAATTTACTTATTACCAGACTGAAAAAGAAAGTAAATAATGATTTACTTTATGTAGTACAGTCGATTACAGTTATTGAAAAGTAGAAAATTTTACATTTTTTTTATAATACAGTAGGCAAACGAGCATGCGGCTCACCTGATGGTAAGTGACTACCGCCGCCCATATGCACCCACAACACCAAAAGCATTGCAGGTGTGTTGCCAGCTTTTTAAAAAGAAATATGCTCTCTTCTTGAAGGTTATGATGTCGTATACTGCTGCTGGGAGTTGATTCCAAAGAATGGTTGTGCGTATCTATGTATCTAGAGGAAAACCTTGTATGGGAAACATGTCTAACGAATATGTACGAGTATAAAAGTATCTATGGAAAGTTTGTACAAAAACCATTTGTTTGAGTACTTCAGTCTCACTTGTGTTTCTGCCGTCAAGCGGATGTGCTTGCATAGTTTTGTTTCGGTCTGAAATGCATGATATAATAGTACAATTACAGTCTAAGGAGGCACAATACCTTAGCGTTCAAAAGTATCAAAGCACATAGGGGACCATGAGTGTCACAATATATTCTGTGGCTCCAAATCTATAGCCGATAGATACCACTTTCTGTCGGACGCAACGTAAGTTTTTTTAACATTCTATAATAAGTTGTTTAAAAATATCTAGATCGAGATTTCCGTATAATAGAAATATATCGTTAAACAGGAATAAAAAATATTTTTTTTTTAATAAATATAGATCTATGTTAAATAATGAAAATAGACCTTTGGATCGGGTACTTTTGATTAGCCGTTAATTTAATTTATTTTTTTCATTGAAATATTATTGTCACTTTACATACATTATTTATTTGATATAAGTTAAAGTTAGATTTGTGTATATTCGTAGATTGATACCTATTTACATAATTTTTTTCTGTACCATTAAAGGAGGCCTAACTAATGTATTTGGAATCAACAATGAATGACACGTGCTAAAACTGCCCCTGATCTCTCTCTGGTGTCAAAAGTATTTGGACTAGCTTCATTATACACAAAGAACTGACGTGGTTTAGTATTTGTATATAGTTTTATATTATCTATGGTTTATTATTAAGTAATTAACTTATGTGTTTTCACCATCGTCAAGTGTTGATAAAAGAAATTGAAATTATCACACTTAGAGATGTTACCTACATATTCGAACTCATGATCACTGAGGTCTATTTGAGGTGGTATAACGGTGAGACGATCCACTGAGCGAGGGCAAAACGAAACAATCGATTTGAATTATTCCTTTAGAAACAATGATATAATTACTAAAAAGTGCTACAAGATATGATACATAACTACACAGCTTAGCGATTTCAAAATAAACGTCGCGTCATGTTTAGACACTTGCAGTGACTGTTGAGTGATTTTGTGAGTGAACTGGGGAATTTTTAATTAATTTAATTAAGAATTTTAACTGTCACTATTTTCGGTTTCTCGATTATTTATTATTTTTAATATATACCTATATCTATTACAAATTACCGCATATAGTACGATTATTTATTAAAGTAAGTTTCCATTATGTATATAAGGCTTTGTTAATAGAATATTACTTACGTGCAAATACCAGGGATGGTTGCGTGCTTACATTTACATAATGAATGCAAACTGTTATAAGTAATTAGCAAAGTATTTAATTAAAACTACATAGGGGATATAGAAAGTATTGTCAGAACATCACTTTCTATAACCCCTCGTAAATACGGAGATACATCTTACGTAAGAATGTTTAAGAAATACAAAAAACAATGACATAGCAGTTTTTATATGAGCTGATGATTGTAATTTTTTCATTAAACCCAGAACTAGGGACGAGTAAATTTGTATTCGATTTATTTTTCAAAGATATCAAATACAAATTTTAAAAGTATATTAGGTATATTTTAAAGGTATATTAGGGAACGAGAGAAATGTCCGTAGCCAAATATATCAATCAGCGCATACCCTTAACGAAATAAAGTATGAATCAAAACTGGTTGGGACTTTAACTAAATACCTGTAATAATTAAATTATTTAATAAGGCTCCCTATGTGCGTAGTGTGTGTGTGAAGAGTTTGCAGCTTGAAGTAACTACCGTTAGTTGAAGAAGTGAACTAGATTCTAGATCTGGTACTTTCCTCTATGATTCAGATTACTTATTCAAGGAGGTATTGCTTCCAAGGAGGTAAATAGTCGCTTTACATTAATTTTAGTACGTTCATTTCGCATATAACTTGAGATCAAGTCACCGGTATGTTACTGGTGACTAGTAACTGTTAAAATGTTCTTATTTTTTACATATTCTTAAAGTTTGTACTTTGTATTTTAGTAATATATTAGGTATTTTTCATTTTTATTATTTATTATATATAATAATATATATTTATAAATATAACAAAATAAAGTTGCTGTTTGCGTCTCTTACTATTTCTCCATTTACTTATCAACTATGGAACGGATTTTGATATAGGTTCAACTGTAATTGTGATATTTTTTTGCAGAAAGTTTATATGAAACTAATTAAACTTTTCTAAATTTTGTTTTGAAGACTTTTTTATTCTTTTAATTTAATACCTTCGTTCACACTAAAATTACACCTTTATGAAAGATCAAAACATTCTGTGTTAAAACACTGATTTTCTTATTCTGTGAGTTGATTTAACAATGTGTGAGTTAAACAGGACTACTCTCTTTATATGGATACGTATATTATCGTATTATATAAGTATCTGAAATATAATCAACCGGTTGTTTTGGCAACAAAAAATTTCGAAGTCGAAAATTGACCTTACGTGAAACGGTCGCGTCCAGTGCGTGCTTGTGATATTATATTTTGTAATTACTAAACAAGCTTTTGTCGTATATAGATATATCTAAATGATATACCTAATCAATTGCCTTCGGGACCACAATAGTGGTATTTACATTTCATTCCATTAATAAAATTAGATCCAATGTATCTATACAATGTACCAATTTAGCTCTTTTTTTATAAATAATATCTAATAATAATATAAATAGGTATTTTAAATAGTGATTTGTTGTATTAAGTATCTACAATGGCGGAAGATTACAGGTAAGATAAAAAATTGTTATTTCGTTACATAAATATTAATTTAGGGTTAGATATACGAATTCGCTGTGTGGTCCCGGCATAGAATAGGCCACCACTTCCTTTCCCCTGAGAGCTTTAAGAGCTTTTAGAGAGCTTAACTGCGGTTGCCAACCCGTCTGCGAAGCGTGGCAACTACTGGTAAAACTCTTCTTATGGGGAAGGCTTATGTTCAGCTGTGGACAGTTAACGGTTGAAATAATAATACGACTTCCATATTCAATTGAATAATATTGTTTTAAACTCACTATTTTTATGAAGTAAAGGTTGCCCTCTCTTCTACTTATTATACCAACAGTGTCTATAATTAGACCCATTTATTTAATAATTACTTGTTTCTTCTGTTTGTTAACCTGTTTATAACATAATATCTCGGATCTGCATTGTGTTGTCGAAAAAAAAAAAAATAGAACTTTATACGACTATGTTTATGGAGCTGTTATTTTAGTATCTCGAAAAATAAAATTTTTAATTCTTGTCAAATATATCCATCACAATTTTTTCAGAACAAAAATTTACATACTTAGTTAAAAGTTATGGCATTTAAGTTCTTGAACAAATCATTTTTCTTAAATAATCTAATAATAAGTTACAGTTCCACTAACATATATTTTTTTTATGAGTGAAAATGGAATGGTAATCCCGCCTGCGCTAACGGGATATGCTGGCGGGGCACTAGTGAAGGGTGATAGATGAGAATGAAAACAGGCCAGTTAGCCCATCATGATGAATTCATCTGGAATTAACCATGATAGTTTCCAGGGGGAACCGCGTGGAGGTCGACCTGATAGGGTGTATTGCTGGCAATGGGTCAATTAGACTCCATTACTAACAATCTCTTTCCCCCCATTAACATGTATTTCGAGCCACACACTTATACATATACCTACCTATACATAAATGAAATATTTTACATTTTATTTTATGTAGGTAATACAGTAGCTGAACGATATTATTATAAGTATACTATTCCTATACTTTTTTATAAGGCATGATTTTAGTTGTATACCTTCGAGTATGACGCGGGTCCCACATGTTTCGGGAATGCGTTTTGCGCATATGTATTCTTTTTTTTTATTTAATTGCTATTTATTCTTTCGATCAGATATATGTCTCTTATATTATTGTAATTACTGTTAGAATAATACGGTCTTATTAATTATTAAAACGTAACAAATTTTATTATTGCTTTAATTAACTACCAAGTCCATATATAGGTGAGATATCGAACTACATTAATTAACTTAACTCAAAAGCTAGCTCTACTCTACTACTCTCTACTAAACTATATTTACTGTTCTACATTTCTGTTTCAGTATGTAAATTAAGTTTTACATATAAATGATCTCTTGCACTTTTCCAACACAACAACAAAACTTTTCTTGCACAAACTGATCCGATATACTTTATAGTTTACTAGGTGATTTTATACAAGAGATTATTTCAAAATGTATCCAATAGTAATGAAAACTTTTTATAGTTACCAGTCACCTAATCAATTATACAATTAATTTAAAGGTACTTTTTCAATGTAATAAATATGCTATTTTAAGCTAAACAAACTTAATTTTCTATAAAATAAATAATATTACAATTATTGTACTGAAAATTTTAGAATTATTTACGATTTATTGATAGACTGATACAGAACTACCTTATATAACTTGCATATAAATGATCTAAGGTTTTTCTGAAATTTCAAAGCATCATATATATGGAGTCAACTTGAATAATAAGTACTAATGAATAAGATAGGAAAGACACTTTCCTAAATTTCCTACGTTTAATATTCAGTGATATGTCACCGAAAGGCTACGATTTGAATACTCACAACAATGATGAGAAGAAACTGCGGCTGCAGGAGATGGAACCACCGAAAAAGAAGAAGAAGCCGCGGCCGTTCCGTGATAACCTCCATGAGTTCATGTCTAATACAACTCTACACGGTTTCCGATACATCGCCGATAAAAACTTTTCCCATGTTGAAAGGCAAGTGATAATAGTAATTTTAAATCATTTTTATATACAATGAAGTTACCGGTTATGAATATGCAATGTAGCGTACTATTAAATTTATTACTGTAATATCCCCTCTTAATATTTCTTTATTCAGGGTTTTGTGCATAGCATGAGAATGACTTCAATGTTTAGTCCATTATTATAAAATAATCATCAATACAAAGTATTTGGAATATTATTAATGATCTCTAAGTCTTTCATACAAAAACATTAACATTTATTATTGCTGTGTGTAATATTGCGATTTATCTATCATATAACGTGTTTGACATACGGCCCGCCTGATGATAAGTGGTTACCGTAGCCTATGAACACCTGCAATACCAGAGGTATTACGCGTGCGTTGAACTTTTTTTACTATATTTATAAAGAATCTCTGAGAAATAATGAATAAAAAATATTTAAATTAAATTTATAATTATAATTTACATGTTATGTAATTTTAATTATGTTGTTTTACATAGAGTGTGGTGGTTTTTCATGGTGGTGTGCAGTATAGCTGTGTGTGCTATATTTATTCGTAAAGTGTGGATCAAGTGGGATGAATCCCCTGTCATTGTTAGTTTTGCAGACACATCGAACTCTGTATGGCACGTAAGTTTATAGTTTTTAGCTTGATGTTTTATTATTACTTAACCTTATATCTTAAATGTACAGATTTATTTAGTAAAATGACGAGTTAATCGTTGAATTATTTTTTGATATATTTTTTACTATTTTCTAATAATTTATTCAATAACAATGTCTAGAGATGATGCATTTAAATATTTGTTATCTATTTTCTCATAATAGAGACTACCCTAATTAAAGAGCAGACGATTAGTGTCACTGTATGGTACTTATTAACTTCTGTATTTTCAAATGAATCCAATTATTTTTTTATTTAATATCAAATTATATTTCAGATCCCATTCCCGGCAGTTACTTTGTGTACAGAGACAAAACCAAGGCAGACCGTTTTTAATTTCACAAAAATAAATTTCGATCTAAGGAACAATCCATCTCAAGTTTCACCGGAGGAGTAAGTGCCACCTGGTGTTTACAATCATGAGAAATAATAATAATAGTTACACACTGGTACTTAATATTTATCTTCTTAGGGGGGAGAAGACATTGTTATTAATGGAGTCTAGAGACTCCATTGTTAACAATATGTTGGGCTCCAAGCGGTTGCTGTGAAAACTAACGTGGTTTATTCTTTATGTATTCTTCACGATGGATGAACTGACTTGCCTTTATTCTTACACTCTAATGTTTGCTGTATACCAATAGCGCATTTTCCGAGAAAGAAATTATTAGAACGAGGAGTAGTGACTCCTATGCTAGTAATATAACTTAGTACTCCATTATCATTAAAAAAATGTAACTTAATAATGTTATTTAAAATTCTCAGCAATATCACTTTAACAAGTTGTTATTTTACATTGATTGTACCTGTTGTTTCTTTTATTCAATACACTTATGGACCAGTAAGGTTCATATCTTTAACCTCATTCTCATTTTCTATCAGCCAAGAGAGATTATTAGGACTATAATTTTCTTGTTATATTTGGTATCAAAACAAAACAGGTTCAATGCTTGTGTACAGCTTGAAGACGTTTCAAGACATGCTGCTCCTGTGCAACTATGCGTCCGACCCCAACGGTGGACCCGAAATCGTTGAGGATATCAAGAGCTCTATTGCAACATTACAACGCGTAAGTACCTAATACAAACATCACACAATACATTTTAATGCCTTCATGCGTTACCATTCCTGTAGCCTAAGGTGCCATCTTCTATGCCCTGGAATTTCGCTGCAATACTCAATCCTTCAAACTAAAAAAACAAAGGTGTCCATGTTTTTCAACCGACTTTAAAAAGAAGAAAGTTCTCAGTTCGGTCAAACCGATTTGGATTTTTTTTATCTGACAGGGTATACAAATATATTGGTTCCATAGAAATTTTATCAAAATCGGTTCAGTTGTTCAATAGTTTTGAAATAAAAATAACTGATTTTGCCATGATTGAAGTCGGTTTTTTTTTTTTGTAATGATAATGAATACATTTCATTCCTCGACCATTAAGTTCCCTTAGTCGCCTTTTATGACACCCACGGGATAGGAAGACATGGCCTATTCTAACACGGGTAAAAGTATATTAAAACGAAAATCTTATTAACTTTATACACAACTATTCACAATTCGCGACCTAATATTTTTACGTTTATGTTTTGAAGGTCATGTGAATTAATCATGATGTTCCGTGGTATTAAAATTTTGTTTTAAGCGGTTCATCGAATATAAAAACATATAAAAATTATATAGGTATTAAAATTATTCTAATGTCAAGGCTATGTTAAATTGTATTTGGATAAATACAATATACGACCTTTAGTGTCCATCTTGTAGTATAGACAAGATCCGTTCGCGGTAAAATAATTGAAATGGTTAAATTGTTTTCATTATCTAGGAATTATAAAGAAGAAATAATACACTTAAAAATCAAGGTAGATGTTAGTCTCTAAAAATAGCTATTTTGAATAAAAATCATTCGTGATAAAATTAATATGGGTCGATATGGGAGTTAATCCTATTAAACTCAAAAATATTTACCAAAATCTATTCAGAATTGGTCGTATTAGGAAGCTGTAAAAATACTTTTTTTAGATAAAAGTCTCTATAGTAGTAATTCTATATTTCTGTAATGCTAAAATATGGAAAATGCGCAAGATTTTTTTTTATATTTCTATCTTGTACGTAATTAATAAAATTGAAAAATAAGGCAATGAAATAATCTGTAATTTTACATACAGCTGGCGCCAACGCGCGATGATGTCTTCTTGGACTGCCTCTGGGACAACTTGAATTGCGAGCAAATGTTTTTCCACACGCTCACAAAAGATGGCTACTGTTTCACCTTCAATATGCTGTCTGCTGAAGAGATGTTCAGAACCGAGAAGTAAGTTCATGAGGGAAAGAGATAGTGACCTTGCAAAAGGGAGCTCGGTCCACTTATACTTACTTTTAAGGTATTTGGAATAAAAAGCTGATAATCTATTTGTTGGAAAGTGGCATATGAAGCTTATAAATATGAACAGAATTACGGATATCAGTGAACACACTGCAACGTCTTTACTACTACCCATAATTTGCTACTCACGAGGATTAATGTGTATCTGTGCTTACCTTGTAATCCGGAATAGAGTCGAATACAGATGCTATGTTTGAAACAGAATCCACATCAATATTTACTTATGTATTTTTGAATGAAGCAACAATGCATTTATAGGTGTTTCATATTTTTTTTAATGGGTGAAGATGGAATGGTAACCCCGCCTGCCTATCGATATACGCTCGCGGGGCATCAGCGAAAGATTGATAGGTAAGAATGAAAGTAGATGAATTGTACCATAATGACGAATAGAACAATATTTAACCATGATGGTTTTCAGGGGGAATAGCGTAAAGATCGATCTGATAGGATATTTTGCTAGTAATGGGACTTTTAAACCCTATTACTAACAATACCTTTCCCTTTAGTAAGTTTTATGTTAGGTACCTCTTAATAAATAACGTAAAAGATTTATTCACTTTATTGAGACAGATAGACATAACACATTATTATTCAGGAGACTAAGTAATATTGTAGGAAAATTATAATAATATACCTACTTATATCTTTCTATCAACTCTATTTTGTTATATTTTTTTAAATAACCATTTTTCCAGTCTTCACAAGGACTACTACCATGTAGCGGGTCACAATAAAAGCGCCTGGACCCTAGAGCGAGGTTATCCACCAGGAGAGACGATTAAAACCTACCCACGGCGTGGACCAGTAAGTAGAGAAAATCATATCCTTATATAATTACACACTAAACTTTAGGTATACATAATACTATCGACGAATCCTCCCAGTAACGCACGTTTTTTGAAAATGAAATTCAATCCATGCTACTCACTGATATTGTAGTTTTATATACATGAAAGAATTATAAAAATTGGTTAAGTATTTTATGTTTATCCATTACAAACAAAAAATTAAATTTCTCCTCTGTATAATAGCAACGTAATAGTTAACGTTTTGTATTGAACTCAGCGTAGATAGAGAAAGCTAGGTACGATACGTACTTAACTATGGAACTCACAGGATTAGGACTAGGAGCGTAGATTTCAGTTCTGTTTTTTTTTATCCATTTTTTAGAGTTATGGCGGTGTTGAATTTGAAGTCATCTTGCTAACCGACATTCGAGATTTGGATCAAGTGTGCCGCGGTCCAGTCCAAGGCTTCAAAGTAAGTATGCAGATTAACATAATTTATTTTATACAGTAATATATCAAAAATTCCATATACATGGGCAACAAATTATTTAAAGAATTTATATAATGCTGTATAAATATGTAATACCTATATAACGAAGTAGTTGAAGATAACTTCTATAATACGTAGTAAGGCATATTGATTTACCAATTTCAGTTCGATGATCGGTCAGGCCACTGAAACAAATTTCGTTTCATTACAATACTAGTTTCATGTATTATGAATAATTATGAACGACATTAATAATTTCATAAAGAGAATTTAGCTACAATTTTTTTTATTTTATTTTTACTACTTTAATTCAAACTGTTTATATATAAACGTTTTCGAAAGCTCATAAGATCTTATCAGAAATTTAGGGTACATGCTTACTACTTACACAAATGTCTTTATAGATATGGCTCCACAACCCAGCGGAGTTGCCTAATATGGGACAGAACTTCTTCCGATTGCCTATCAAGCACCAGTCAGCTGCTGCAGTCACGCCCCGCGTCACAGCCACCTCAGACGGTTTGAAGCATTATCCACCTCACAAGTTAGTAAATTAATACTAATGGAACTTATTAGTAATTTAACTTTGGCTTTAACTCCAGGATCTACGTGTAAATAGAAGATATATTTTGATATATCTTGCGTCGTCGAATTTTGCGATCATCTGGAAGAAAAGGCTAAGATGCCTTCCAAAAAGTTGGGAGTGCTCAATAGAATGAGACAGTATTACATGCCGGAACACCACTTGAAATTGTATAAAGCTCAAGTCGGGCCACATATGGAATATTGTTCTCACCTATGGGCAGGAGTGCCACAGTACCAGCTCCTTCCGTTAGACCACATTCAAAGTCGGATGGCTCGAATCATTGATGATCAGCGCCTTACTGTTCGACTTGACACACTGAAACTGCGTAGAGATGTTGCATCTCTGTGCATTTTCTACTCTATTTATCATAGGGAGTGCTCTGAGGAATTGTTCGGATTGATACCTGCTGTTGACTTTCACCACCGTACAACTCGCCATAAACTAAAGTTTCATCCCAACCATCTGGATGAGTGGCGGTCTTCCATCGTGCGTTTTTCAAGGCACTTTCTTCCACGCACAACCACTCTTTGGAATCAACTTCCAGCAGCAGTATTTCCAAACCGCTACGACATTATAACCTTCAAGAAAAGATCATATTCCTGTTTAAAAGGCCGGCAGCACACCTGCAATATCTTTGGTATGGTGGGTGATCATGGGCGGCGGTAGTCACTTACCGACTTACAGGTGATCCGCATCCCTATTATTAATTATGAAATAGAGATGAAAAAAATAAATAAACAGAATCCAAAGTATAAAAATATCTGCCAAAATTTATTAGCAGACATTTGATATATAAATATATAATTACTTAAAAAATATGCTCATGATTATTTTTTTAATTAGTTTTTTAATACATTTTTTTATTTTAATCAATTTAAAAAAGAGAAAGGATATTTTAGTGGTGGTAAATTTGAGACCAAAAGTTAGTTTCATTGACAAAAAAATTTTAATTAGTATGATTGCAAAGTATTGTATTGTATTAAGTACGGGCAGCAAAATTTGAATAACCTAATGGCGGTAAATGTGCAAATTCGGCTAGTGCTGCTAAAAACTAAATACCTATATAAACCTAATACGGAAACCTAAAAATTATTACTGTAAGCGTATGTAAGTGATACATAAATATATCATTCTGCACATCTTTTTTATAACTTTAAGTATACAAGCTAAATTACTCTATCATGAAGTTTTAAGGAAATTTCATAAAAAAAATGTATACCTATAAGAAACCTATTAAATACCTAAAGATGATGTCATTTCTAAATTTTTAGCTGACATATTCACCTTCAATTTGAACCTGAGCTAATAGGTATAATATATTTATAAACAAATGGTAAAGTATAGGTCTAAAAGGATATTGGTTTTTGTCGACATGAAGAACATACAAGATAACTAATTTAATGTAATTTTGATTGATGTTCGACTTGTTAGTCATACATCAAGTTCTCAGACGGCATGATATTTTTTTGACATCTTCAACAATCATCGTCATATTTCAACTAATTTACACATAATATTACCAAATTATACACCTATAGGTACTTTCCTCCGAGGAATGTTTTTCGAAATTTCGGGGCCGGACGAGACATAAATTTTATGCTAAAATTATATAATACATACCGTTTAAAAATATTCAAAAGTTAAAATACTTTAAAATTAAAATAAATGACTTTTGTGGTAGGATTTATAAGAAACAAAACGTTAAACTGCACCTACTGGATCAATTTCTGTATGAACAAAAACACGAAATTGAGTTCTAAAATTTGGAATTTCATTTTATGATAGACGTGCAGGAGTCACTCTGTTGATAAATGAAAACATTTGTTTTATAATATATTCGTAATGATATATTGATCTACCCGTGCATAGCCGAAGCAGATACTCTACTGTTTAGTTGGTATTCACATATTCGAAAACAAACTTTTTTCAGACGTAACTGCTTCTTTCCTGAGGAACGGTATTTGAGCTTCTTCCGTATCTACACGCAGCGGAACTGCGAGCTCGAATGTTCGTCCAATCATACGGCCTACCGTTGTGGTTGTGTTCCACTCTACATGCCTCGTAAGTATACCAACTTTTTTTTATACCACGAAAGTGGCAAATATGTATACAGCCCGTGTGATGTCGTTGTCGATGTTGAAGAAACCTTAATACACACTTTTTGAAACACTTCATACTATAGTTTATGGTTCAGTCATTGATTTTATTTTTTTTTATATCGAGCTAAAGTATTCGAAATTGTATTTTTATAACTATTTATTTTTATATATCTGCTATAGGCGATTTTCTTTTTCAGACGGTCCCGATACAAAAGTATGCGGTCCGGGTAAGAGGCAATGTGTCACAAATGCTTTTGGTAAGTTGTAGTGTTAAAATAAAATAGTAAATATTTAATTGAATTTATTGAGTATTATATTTATATTAATGAATATTATATTATATATAGTTTAAATACTGTTTAGAGACTCTATTGATACAACTATTTTAAAGTTAAAACAGCAAGGCGTGGGACATTGTATTTTGGTGTGAATAAATAATAGTAATAAATTTTTATTTCAAAATCATCGGTATATACGAGTAGGTAATGCAGCTTTTAGGGCTCCGTACCAAAAGGTACAAAAGAACCTTTGTTATATGGTGAGAATTTGTCTGTTCGTCTGTCACAATACTATATCTCAACAACTACTAATGCTATAGATATCAATTTTGAATGACATCTGTTGTTATCCCAGACGTATTGCAATGAAAAGAAAGTCTTTTAGTTTATTTCTTATTCTGTATAAAAAAATCTGAACAGATTCGAAATTCGAATTGTATATTAATTATTATTTCTAATTGTGTTAGAGGAACTGTCGCTCTCCAAATCGGCACTAGACGAGGACTCAAAACACTTGACGAAGAAGTGCGACTGTTTGGAAGCCTGCACAGAGTTGAAATATGACGCGGAGGTGTCTCAAGCGGTATACGACCTAACTACGTACAGACGACACTCGAACCCTGACATCGCCCATGGATGGTGAGATGACAAAAAATATTACAATTTAAAGCAATAATAATATTATAATAATAATATTATAGCTTTAAATAGTATGAAACCGATTTTAACGAAATATTCATCAAAAAGAAGGAGGTTCTCGATCCACTTGTATATTTATCATTTGTTTCCTCAAAAAAGATATACATAGATTGGTATACATATATATACATATATATAGATTGGTTCCATACTTTTATCAAAATCAGTTTTATAGTTTAGTTTGAAAATCAAATAACTGGTTTTGCTATAATTGACCTCAGTTTTGTTTACATTACAACACACTCTTAACGTAAATGTGTATATTATTATTATTATTAGCTCTAACTTGAGAAATAGGGTAGATTTTATCCCGAAAAAAAAATGGGCGCGATAGGAAGTGATAAGAGACTAAACACCGAGTCAACTAGTACCTATTGATTTAAAATTTAATAATAATAATTTTATGCACTCATTAATCAAGGGATGCAGAGAGGTCAGTCATCTATTCATCAATATTATAGTTTAATTTTATTTTTTTCTTTCAAATAGGTAATAAGTACTTATTCAACACACATTTGTCCTATTTTTTTTAATCCATATTTTTAATTTAACAAAAAATGTTGTGGGTTATTGTTTGATTATTCATATTTATAATACTATAATAGGTATATTTTTTAAAAGGCAATTGATTTCAATATTGTTTACCATACTATTTTTGAATATACATAATGAAAATTAGTAAGAACGAATTTTTTATTTGTTAAATATTTATTATTATTAAAGTAATAAATTGTAATTTTAAACATAGTACATTTAAATAAATATATGTAAACTTCTAATATATATATAAAGAGATTTACAAGAATAACTGTTGAGTTTCTTGCAGCCTCTTTTTAACAGATAACTTCCGAATCTAGCACTAGAATTTAAAAAAAATGTCAATTTAAAAGTATTTATAAACAAGTCTATTTGAATAAAGATAATTTGAATTTTATTTAAACTGCAAATTTTTTTATATTTTTCGGCCTTAGTGCAAATGTTTGAAAATGTTTCGTTAGTAGAACACTCCCTTCAAAACATGCTAAAGATTTTGATTTCACCCTGTATTTAGATGTTTAAATACTAATTAGGCGTCTGCCATCCGGCTTGGTGGTGTACTTCGCCGAAGAGCTGTTCACGTCACTGCGACGCTCGGAACTATACGGCGGGGTCGACTTCCTGGCCAACTGCGGGGGCATCATGGGCCTCTTCATGGGGTTCTCCTTCCTTAGCGTTATTGAGATCATTTACTACTTTACTTTAAGGTAAACTTTAACGATTTATTTGAACTTCATTTTCTAATGTAAAAAATTGTAAAGATGTTTGGATAGTTATTATTCAATTACATCTTAATTGTAGAACGAATAAGAGAGGGATTTATTGGTATTTGACCCTTCTTTATCTCTTTTTTTTTCTTACGTTATACAAACGAAGTAGCGGGGTAGCTAGTACCAGAGGGAAATTATGTACAAAAGTCGTATGCTTGGGCAGTTCTGTCTCATTCGTGTTTCTACCGTGAAGCAGTTGTGTTTGCATGGCTGTGTTTCGGTTTGAAGGGTGGGATATGGCAGTGAATTTACAGGGTACAGAGGAATAACACCTGAGTTCTCAAGAATGTTTCATGGGCGAAACAATATACTCTGTTATGTCCATGGTACTGCTCGTGTTTATAGGAGACGGTTAATATTTTCCATTAGGTGGGCAGGCAGCTTGTTTGCCATTATAAGTTGCCTCAAAAATTTTTTGATACAAACCGCGAGCTCAGGGAATGATTGATTTATGAATGAGTTCTTAATCGATGATAATGGAATGGTAACGCTACCTGCGCTATCGGTGTACGCTGGCGAGGCATCGGTATTTGGTGATAAGTGAAGATGAAACCAAGTCACCACGATGGTTTCCAGAGATAACCGCTTGGAGGTCGACTTGACAAGGTCATATTGCTAGCAGTGGAGATTAACATCCCCACTTCTAACAGTTCTCCCCCCCTCCCTCTCTCTCCTTACAAATATGTAAACCTTGTTTGTATTATGTAGGTATACAACAGAACATAATTAAAATAGACGCATTTGTGTAAATAATAATGATATGGAGGTGTTATTGCTGAAATAAATTTATCAAAACAGCGATTATACAAAAGGTTTTAAAAGTTTTCTATGTGTATTTTTAAAAATTTACATACCAAATCCAATATGTGTTTTATATATAACAAAAATAAAAAAATAGATATATATAGGATGGTAGCTCAGTCCAGTAGCTATAAAAGTAAAAATATGTATTTTATAATTCCATTATATAGGAAATTATATATAATAATTCCCCCACCACGTCATCCAGGTAACACAGTTGAACAGTGCTTCAACTAAGTAATCTAATTTTTTTTATTAAGTATTTGCTTTCTCAACCTCATAAAGGGGGGGGGGGGAGGGATTGTTAGTAATGCGGGCTACCAGTCCCATTGCTAGCAATATACTCTGTCAGGTAGATCTCCACGCGGTTCATTATCCACTATCCACCTATCATTTCTTCCTGGCACTGCTAGCGTATATTGTTAGCGCAGGCGGAATTACTATTCCGTTATTATCCATTAAAAATATCTTAAAATGCGAGTGATAATGAGGTTAAATTTTCGCGTGGTCCATGAAAGCCTATTTATTCATGTTTGCCTTAAAATGATTTATTTGTATTAAATTTCATAGTGATTGGTTAAGTTGTTAAAGCACTATAAGGTAACGAAGGCAGCAGCTATTTGGAGCAGGAAATGTAAAAAAAAACTTTCACGTTAATGATAATAAAACAAAAGGGGAGGGGGAAGGGATCGTCAGTAATGGGGTCTCCACGTGGCTCCCCCTGAAAACCATCGTGGTTAATTCTAATGTAATTCATCATGATGGGCTAACTGACCTGCTTTCATCGTCACCTATTATCCCTCACTAGTGCCCCACCAACTTATACCGATAGCGCAGGCGGGATTACGATTCCATTATCACCCATTAAAATAAATCAAAAGGATTCGAATGTATTTTTAAAACATGTCTTATTATTATTATTTTCAGATTATTTTGTCGGATACGTCAGTCTTCGACAGTGGTAGCAGAATAATCACTCCTATCTTTTTATCGAACTCAGAAGTTAGTTTATTATAATGTAATGATTATTAATTTAATACTCTAAATAATCTCTCATTTTATATTATAAGTATTTTATAAATAACTATTAGCTTTTTGCTCACTACTTTGAAATGTGTATTTCAGAAGTAGTAAGATATAGTGGTACCTTATAATGCTCTTATAAATGAAAATTTAATCAGGCGAAACTCACAGTTTGAACAATGTTAATACGATATGTATTGTATACCTACATACTATAGGTAGAGTACATTGTATCTAAAGTGCCATTAAATCTGATTTATTATTCACTAGTTTAAGCAGGTATATTATTTGTTAATATTACTATTTGTATATCAAGTGTAAAATAATTAAATCTAAGATTTTTCACTATTTCTTTTTATTTCTCTAATACCCATGTATTTTTTGTGGGTGATAATGAAATCACTATCACATTGGTTTCCAGTAAGAACCACGTGGAGGTCGTCCTGATAAGGTTTATTGCTAGTAATGGGGCTGTTAGACTCTATTACTAACAATCTCTCTTCTTCCTAAATTATGTAGTTATGATAATGATGGGTATTTGCAGATATGTAAGAACTAGCTTACCTGTCTTGATGTATGAATGAAATCATATAATATCGTCAACTTAAGTATTATTAGATGATCTTAGTATTGTATTGTAAACAAAGATTAAGAATAAGGCCACGGTGATAAAACGAAAACAGAAAATAGAATACATACATTGTAGATTGAAATTTATATTCTTTTATCTAAGTTAAATTAAAAAAAAAATATTTTTATTAATAATAATAATAATTACAAATGGTAATTACAAGGTGTGTCATAGAAAATTTATTAATATTATTTTTAATGGAAGTGGGTAATATGTAATATCTATGTATTGCACTTACAATGTCTCTATATAGGATTTAAAATAATGTATTAATTATCGCTTATCCAACGTAATTTCAAAATATATGGGCGATATTAAATGATATCATAGGTGAAACAGAATACAGTGTTATGTCCATGGTACTGTTCATGTCTATAAGCAACGATTTTTCTTCTTTCTATGAGGTGAGCCGTCAGCTTGTTTACTATTATAAGTTGCATAAAAAAAGTTCATCTAATTCCCATTATCCAGTAAAGTATAATATGGTATTCACTTTCAACTTTCACCTTCAAGTTATTCTTTTTTTTTAACCCAAATCCCAACAATAACGAAAATGAAACAAAAATTCATTTTTTATTTTAGAATAGTAAATATGTTATTGATAAAGTGAATTGAAACAAATAATAGTATGAAAAATATGTTTGCTTCAATTACACTAAGAAATAAGGGTATAGGGCTAAATATATGTAGAAATATTGTAATATTATTTTAAGATTACATGCATACATGCTTACTTCCACGGATCAAATTCTTGTGAAGAGGAAATTTCCAAAAACACTGTAGTATTCGATATCTCTGTGGAAAATTTCACGTTTATGGACGGTTTTGTAATTCTAACGGTTTTGTAATTGGCATTTAGTGATCATATTTCTTTTTCGTATAAAGTATAAGAAAATTATACCTGTGACATGTTAATTAATTCTTTTATAATAAATGTAACGTAAAAATAATTAATTAAAATACATGCCATTTAAATATAGTTTTTAAAAAATAGTAAATCGTTTACAAAAAATAGATTTATCAATAAACTTAATTCGTCAATAGCTTAATTTTTTTAAATATTTTTATTTGTGCCACATGGTGTACCTAAATTTTTCATAGTGCTTCTTTTTCGAATTAAAAAAAATGTGTCACTTATATACTTACTCGTAATACTCTCTTTCCCCTGGGGATTGCATATGCGTTACAGTTACTGCGATAACCCTAAACATAACAGGGGGAAAGAGATTGGTAGTAATGGAGTCTAACAGTTCCATGGGGGGAAAGGGATTGTTAGCAACATACCTTGTCAGGTCGACATAGTCTTCCCTGGAAACTATCATGCTGAATTCTAGATGTATTCATCACGATGGGCTAATTGACTTGCCTTTTCATTCTCACCTGCCATCTTTTACTGGGCCTCGCCAGCGTATACCGTTAGCGCAGGTGAGGTAACCATTTCAATATCATCGATTAAAAAACTCCATTGCAAGGGGGGATCGTTAGTAATGTAGATTACCATTCCCATTGCTAGCAATATCAAGTCAAGCTCCACGTGGTTTCCCTGGATATCACCGTGGTTAATTCCTGGGAAATTCGTCACCATAGGCTTACTGGCCTGCTTTCACCTTCGCCTATCATTTTTCACTACTTCGCCAGTATATAATGATAGTGCAGGCTGGGTTACTATTAAAAAAAAAAAAAATCTAAACATATCAACATTATTACTTTATTGCTATAGTCAGACTTGACGGTGGTCATGTTAATAAAAATGTGTAATTGTAAATAGGTCTGAATATTTATTCGACACATTTAAGTAAATTCTCAATATTTTATACGTGCAAAACATTACTTGGCCACTGAGTTATTCAATACATACATAAGAATCAGTTGTTCTAATTCTCTCTACCTGCCAACTTCCATTCATTACTACGCAAAGAAACACATATTAAAAACAAAATAGGGTAACGTAATCACCAGAACGAAAACAAATAATCGTCGAAACATAAACCTGCATGACTGGTCTGAGAAATGTGCTGCTCGCACAGCCAGGCACACACACCGGCGCGTCGCGACCACAACCGCGCTTCCATTCGACGACATGTCGCTACGTACGCAACTCCTACGTACTGGTAAAGTGCATTTTTATTTTGATTCATTCATCATTTTATATCCTTGAAATCTTTATCGTAATTTGCTTAAACGTGAGACATATTGAGCCTTACAGTATTTTATTTTTCTCCAACAACCTGCTTAACAATTATGCAGCCTTGCAACAAGTTTACCTGTTGACTTTAAAAACATAATTTGAGCTCTAGTTTTGCTTTATCTGCATGAATAAGATACTGTAAAACGAAGAAATGTCTATATAACTTATTACGGTAATAGTAATATGATCGTATATATTACAGTAATAGTATAATTATAATTATAATTTTGAGCATATTTGCTCAAATGTGACCTCAATATGCGCCAATATTTATTGAAAAAATACATATTTTTCTACATAAACTTTATAATTTAATCTATCTTATAAAAAATATAGATTTTTATCAGCTATGATTAATAAATAGATTTTAAATTAAGTAATATAACAGTGTGAACTATCTAGTCGAATTATTATCAACCTTGAAATTATAAATTTAAATATGTATATATTTATACAGGCATAAGATACATATAAGAACATTTATTTTTAAAGAGGTACATACCATACATCATTATGATAGAAAAAGACTCTTGTAAAGTGTAAGGAACACTGAAAGTGGACATTTGAATTCAATTGTAAACATTTAATTTCAATTCAACAGTGTATAATGGTTACCAACTTCGTCAATTTAGTGAATTGAAAGGAAAAGAACGAGAAGGTGTAGCTTTACTTCGAGACGTGCTAGAAGATCGGTTGCGGGAGATAAAGAGGGCGAAGACTTGGAAACATGAGAGAATAATCACCTCACCACAGGATGCAAAGGTAGGTGCCAAATGTCATTTGTTTTGCTTCCTTTAATTTTGTTTTTAATTATGTTGTCATCTCTTATACTTTTCTCTATCTTAATTCTTCACTAATAGCTGTATGGAGAAGATTACCGCCTTTTGTACCACACTTTTTTTTTTTACTTAATTCTTTCCCATATTTTCTCAGTATTCCTACTTTATTATTAAGTTTTCCATTAAATAATTAAATAAATAAATTATGTATCCAGTGTAGAGTTATTGTCCTTGAACTTGAGGAAAAGAAATTTAAAAATATCAAGTTAGAATGTATATTAATTTTGGGTTAAGTAGGGACTTATAACTACATGACATTGTTATCGATATGTTAAGTAACATACGTGTTATATAATGTGCAATTGTTCATATTTTTATTAATATCGAGTATTTGGATTAATTTTAGTATTCTCTCTTTATGAAATGTGTTTTGTTTGTTTTCACTTATCAAAAAAATAAATATAGAATAATAGCTGAGGAGAATTGTTGGTAACGATATCTAGTGGCCCGATTACTAAGTTAAAGCTAACAAGCAATATACCATAATTGGTTACTTAGAAGAATAAGTGCATAATTTGTTTGCATGCGCTATTTTTAATCCCCGATGTAATAAGATACCTAAATTTTTTACATTACGTTAAACACCAGGTACATAATGGTGTGTCGTTTTTATGTTTTTACATTGTTAATAGAGATAATGTAACTTACTTGAAGGTCAGGAAATATGGTTATTGTTATTTTTGTACCATTTAAAGTATACTGTGGACAAACTAGACTATACGGTCGTCAATACATATATGACCAAAGACGCATTTATTAAATCAGTAGTTTTTTTATGTAATTTAGAATGGCAAACCAGCTGACGGCCCACCTGATGGAAAGTGGTAACCGTCGCCTATAGACATGAGCAGAATTGCATGATTGTAATCATCAGGTATTCAGCAGTGAAGAATGAATGTCTGAAACAAGTTTATTTTGTTCCAAAAAAAAAAAAACACTAACTTCATTCGTGGCAAAACCCGTTGTTTTGTTTTAAAAAGCAAACTACTGAACCAATTTCGATGGAATTTCTATGAGACCAATCTAAAACTGTATCCTTTCCGGATAAAATTCTTTCTGGTCTAATAAATATAAAAATAATCGATTTTGTTCCACAAAACAAAAACAAAAAGAAAAAGCACTGGCTTCAATCGTGGCAAACCAGTTATTTTGATTTAAAAACTAAACTACTCAACCGATTTTTATGAGATTTCTTTGGAAGCAATTCTAAAAGTGATTTATAAATGACAGAGGTATGAGACAAAAAAATATTACTATTAGTTTTATAAGAAATAGTGTATTGAAGAAAATATATAAAAATTAAAGAGATGGTATTATAAATTAATGTTATATATTAGTATATTATATAGTTTTTAATTATGAAATATTATATATAAAACAAACTATTTATATTGTAAATGAATTAATTAATTTCTTATATACACAGGTGACTATTCAAGGAGCTAAAGGAGATTTCTTGAACTTCTGTGCTAATAATTATTTAGGATTTTCTGTAAGTATTTAGTCTCTATTATTTTATGTCATTGCCGTGTGGTCCCGACATAGAGTAGACCCCTTCCTTTCCCGTGGGTGTCGTAAGAGGCGACTAAGGGAGGCTAAGAGATAGGCGAAAGCGTCTCTCTTAAAATATCTCCAAAACCTAACTGCGGTTGTTAATCTGCCTGCCAAGCGTGACAACTACTGACAAAACTTCCCAAGGGGGAGGCTTATGTTCAGCAGTGGACAGTTAATGGCTGATAGGGGTTCATATTATATATGAATATTTAGTATTTTAGTATTCTAGATCATTTTTTTAAAGTGTAACATTATCCTATAAGAGTTTTATTAATATGTAAGTTAATTTTGATTATTTTATTCATGTTGTCATCTTATGATATTGACAGAATCATCCCGAAGTGGTAGAAGCAGCGAGGGAAGGTTTGACAAAATACGGAGCAGGTCTCAGTTCCGTTAGATTCATTTGTGGAACGCAGCTTATACATAAGGTAATTCAATTATTCTAAGATACATATTTTTACTAAACTAGGTTTTAAAAAAATACAAATACGTACACATTTATAATTTTTGAAAAATTTTAAGTTACTTATTTCATTTAAAGTTCACTTATAGTTTAAGTAACATACAGTCTTATAAGTAGTCACTTAGGGATGATAAAAGAATCTAAAAATATGCTATACACCCAAATTTGTTCAGGTTTTTAGATGTTATGGTGGAATGAAGAAACACGCATGAAACCTGAAAACATTTCGCTCTTTTTTTGACAGTCGTGTAAAAAGTTATATTTATAGAAGCTCAAGCTACAGTGATAGCTTAACAGTCGAGCCATATGTAAAATGAAATTATGTAACGCGGTTTTCTTCATAAGGAAAATGATCCAAATCCTTTAGAGATACGTGACGGCCGTGAAAACACTGCAATTTATCTAAACATAGTATTACGACCTTGACGAAGTAGGTATTATAAGAGTAGGTACCTTGAATTGCAAATATTGCATCTCATCTATTACAGTTGAAAACATTAGATTGCTTTCATTTAGATATTTTATTATAACCATGCGCATAATTATTAATTTTAAACTTTTGAACACATCGAGACTTAACGTGATGAAAAATTGCAGAAAAATAGTACCTACATCCCTGATTTATGTTGATTTTTATTTTTTTCGTCGCGTTAAGTTCCAATAGGGTATTTAAAATATGTTAAATAATAACTTTACTGCCTATGTTAGTTATCGTATAGATATGTATTGTACTAGATTTATTTACTTCTGATAATAATTTATGTCATAGTATTCCGCTCTATGGATTTAAAAAATAACTGGTAAAATCGGTTATTTAACGAAAAAATCGTGTAACATATTATAGGTACACTCCAAAATACAGACAGAATGATAACCTCCTCATTTTGAGGTTTTGAATGTTTGAAAAAATTTTGTGTAGGATTTTTTTTCTGTTTAAGTGTTAAAATGCTGATCGGAGGATTATAAAAATAAACTTATCACTCATGATATTTTTAGGAATTGGAGCAACGATTAGCCAAGTTCCATGGGCGTGAGGATACTATACTCTATGGATCATGCTTCGACGCGAATGCTGGTCTTTTCGAGTCCATGCTCACCCCTGAAGACGCAGTGTTCTCGGATGCCCTGAACCATGCTTCAATCATTGATGGGATCCGATTGTGTAAGGCTCAGAAATATCGGTATCCGCATAGAGATTTAAATGGTATGTATTTTATTATAATAATATTTATGTCAACCGTTAAGAACAGTGCGTTCATCTCTATAGGCGATGGTTTTCTAATGGATAGTAGTGGAAATGTAAATTTGCCTACACTATCGCTATACACTAGCGAAGCATCAGAGAGATGAGCTAAGAATGAAAATAGGTCAATTGGCCTATAGTGAGACAATGATCTTTAGAGGGAACCGCATGAACCTGATAGGGAAATTGCTAGTAATGGCTCTGTTAGATCCCATTACTAACAACTTCTTTCTCGGTTACCACTTTCCACAAGGTGGTCTATAAGCTTCTTATGAAATAATTAATGAATGATTATGAGATTTGGTATGACTAATTCTATTTGGGATGGAGAAGGACATAGGTTACCTTTTTGTCAATCTATTGATAAGTCCTGGTCACGTTGACAAAGTTGCGGGTCAAAACTATATAGTATTCTATAAAATTGTAAGGTCAAAAACACTATTTAATTCAATTTTTTTCCTTAAAGTTCCTTCTTTACCCTACAAACAGAAACACAATTTCAGAGTAGCTGATCTCACTGAAATGTGTATTTTTATTTAGAACTGGAACACTTATTGGCGCATAGTGAGGCACGCATCAAGCTGATTGTCACTGACGGCGTCTTCTCAATGGATGGGACTGTCGCGCCCATAGCCGGGCTGCGGGAGCTCGCAGACAAGTACCGAGCCTTGCTGGCTGTTGATGACAGCCACGCTACTGGTTTCTTCGGTGACTCCGGACGGTAAGTTGACCTACTTACCTATTACTTATTTATAAATCTATACTATCGACATCCCTTCAAGGCTGTTTTGACTTCTATTCTGCTAATACTAGTGACACTATTTATTTTTGTCAAATATGCGATCGAATGACGATCTTCCACACTTCACGACGCTCCCAGTCGATTTGGACTTTGCCTTTGCCTTGTATTCCTGTATATTCCACAAGTAAAATTTTTGTGTTCGACTGCAATTCAGCAACGATTCAGGTAATAGGTACTGTCAGTTTGAGGGAAGTGGTTGTTAGTAACCGGGAATAGCGATCTTATCGCTAGAAATATACACTGTACCACGCGGTCCCCCTGAACACCATTGTGGATAATTCTTGATGAAAAATAAAACCGCAAACGAGGTCGAATTGATGGAGTATATTGCTGCAGTAATTGGGCCGCTAGTCCTTACTACCAACATACCCTTCCCTATATATGATGTGTTTTTTTAAACTACCGCAGCATACGGCCCATTTGATGGTAAATGGTTACCGTAGTCTATTGACGCCTTCAATACCAAAAACGTCACACACGTATTGTCGACTTTAAACCCTACCCTTTTTGAAGAACTCCAAGTCTCCTGTCAGCAAGTGGTGCGCTGGTAAAATGTGGTTATAGGCATCATGACGAAAACCTCAGTGAAATTGTCTTACAGGGGCACTGAAGAATACTGTGGCGTAATGGGAGCAGCCGATATCATCTGTTCGACGCTGGGCAAAGCAGTGAGTGGTGCGGCCGGCGGGTACACTACTGGCCCAAAAGAGTTGGTCACTTTGCTGAGAAATGTTTCCAGACCTTACCTATTTTCTAATGCTCCTCCACCACCGGTGGTCGCTGCATCGTTAAAGGTGACCGCCAAAAGAAGTTTTTCACAAAACATGAGAGTACACTAATATTAAACAAACAACATTATATCATCATCATCATCATATCAACCATCAACTGTTCATTGCTAAACATAGGCCTTGCCCTATTGGGGGGATTTTGCCAGTAATTGCCACGCTTGGCAGGCGGCACATCATTATATAGTTTGTTTCAATAGAATTTAATGGAAATATGAATAAACAACTTGCAACAATAAGAATAATTGCCCCGACCATAGGATAGACTGATGTCTAATCGTAGGTACAAACAAAAATCAAGATTTGTTAATAATTTCATTTACAATTTCTGTGATAATTTTTACATAAAATAGTTGTATTTTTATTGAATTCTATTAAAACAAACTATATTATTCGATGTACTAAAATTTATTATATTAATATCCGACTAGTTCTGCATTTTCAAATATTTTGTTTCCTTTCGTACGATCTATGTTAAGGACAAATGAAATTAGTAAAATGAGGCTTTACGTAAAATAAGAATAATCACAATTGGTTCACAATTTTCGAAGATATTGTGTAATATGCAAAGAATACTATAGACATAATATTATATAGCCTACACTTTACTGTAATATTGTCTCTATATTCACGCTAAATATTTATGAATTAGACAGAAAGAACCGATAAAGTCAAAGGCTTCTATCCTTATATACATACAATCATATTTACTAAAAGAGGTATTGATATTTTAGTCATTAGATTTGGTAGAGCAAAGCGGTGAACTGAGACAACGATTGCAAGAAAACACAAGAAATTTCCGTGATGGTTTGAAGGCAGCTGGACTCACGGTGGCTGGGGATGATCATCCCATTTGTCCTGTGATGGTCGGCGAAGCGCCCTTAGCGGTGGAACTAGCTTCTGGGATGTTAGGTGAGATCTTTGAGCTACACTTTCGTTAAGCTGTAAAATATATTTATCATTCACTAATATAAGTTTTCTTTCTGATTTTACAGAGTTTATAGGCTGTGACGGAAAGAGTTAGCATAAAGCGAAATACAAGGAATAAGTCTCTAGTAACGTAATCTAAAAACTGTACCAAAAGAAATCTTATGTTTATAAGTATAATAAGTTTATAAATCAATATACAAATATCATTTCCATCGTCGCTTGTCTACCATAATGGATTCAGAGTGTAACTAACATATCCTTTGTTGAAATTTAAATTTCGAATCTGGCAAGACTTCCTAACCGAACTGAGAAGTTCCGTAGTTTTACTATTAAATTTTTTTTTCAGAACGTGGCATATATGTCGTGGCCTTCAGTTATCCGGTAGTACCCAAGGGCAAAGCGCGTGTACGGGTGCAACTGAGCGCCGCTCATACGCCCGACGATGTACAAACAGCCGTTCAAGCCTTCGCTGAAGTCGCTAAAAAAATTGGTATTGTAAAATCATAGAATGCGAGAACTAATTTTGAAATTATATCTCCCATTTTAAGTCTTTTCGAATTTATAAAATTTTTTTTGTTATTTATATGTATAACAATTGTAAATATCAGGAAATGTAATATGAACTGAACAAATAAAATATTATAAAATGCATTTATTTTTGTTGTTTAATCGAGCGTACGGTGTACCTACTGTGGTAGTAAGTGACTGCAAACCATGGATACTTGCTATACCAGTGATAAAGCGTGCTAATTTGCAACCATTATGACATGAAATATACACAATCACACGAAGAAAGAGAATTATCCTTAATCTTTGCAGTCACAGAAACCAAATATCCATTGGCATGTTTTACCCTTTAAACCGGAACACAACGTGCAAGCAAGCTACTTGGCACCAGACATGAACGGGACCTAAGCACACATATGATTTTGTGTAGTCTCCCTTTGGTGGTTAAAAAAAGGCATAAGATAGCAAATGAAATTAATTAAGGCTGTTATGTAATAATAATTGATCTATTAACAATAATTTATTACAAGTAATAAAACTCACACTCAGACAACTGCAAACACTCAGTGCGACCTTTATAATCTACTCTCGAGTTATAAATTACAATTATAATATTAAATTATTTACATTGGTATTATATTGAGGTCTCAAATTCGCCGTTATTGCATATCATAATTATATTTCGGCTTTTTGGCGAATCCTTACGAGTTTCTCATAAAATATATCAATCAATTTAGTTTATAAAAGAAACGCAAAATGTTCAACACGGTCACTTTGTAAACTCAAAAAATGCGTATTGACCATTTAACGTTTCATCACATTACGAGTTTATACAACGTCAACAAAATTAAATTATTAAGGCCAAACTATCCGACTTTGGCTGAAAACAGTGCTGCAATGAAATAAAATACATAAGTATATAAAATCGTTGGAAAACAATTTTAATACTAACCTTGTATAATATTTGGGATCATTATTAAATTAAACTTCTAAATTTAATTTTTCATTTTTAGAATGTTTTAAAAAGTATTCGTGCTTTGGAGGACACTTGACTTTTAAATTATGTTATTAAAAATTTGTTTTTCGATAGATGCATTTGTTACTTGATTAATGGGGCTAGTCTGTTAGTTGATAACCACGGGCAAGTAACTACGTGCGTCCACATAGGCGGCACTTATTTGATATTACGTTAAGAAAAACAGAGCTGGCCAAGCAAGCATCCCTCTCACTTACATTGATAATACTCAACGATGTTTTAGGCCAGTGTTCACAATTAAATGTATTTGCCTCCAAATTGCCGGAGTTTCGTCAAATGACCACTGAGTATTTAGATATTTAAGATATAAATGTTATTTCTATTATTATTATGTTGTTGTATGATATTTTAATCTTATTAATATTATTCCTTTTAATTATAAATGTAAATAATGTGTTATTGTACTGCTTTCCTAGGTGAGCATAATGGGAGACTGTAAAGCTATACAACTTACACCACTGTTTTCGTCAAAGTTTCAAGTTAACATTACATTGACTATAAATATGGCTCATCATAGTTACGTTATACCACTTAACATACCAATCGACTGTCTTACTTCACTACTCACTAATGTGTTAATTCCCAACAATATTTAAAAGCTGTGTAATATTTTCAAACCAAAATTTTAAACATTTGTCATCAGGAGGATTTACATCGAACGGCACGAGTCTGAGCGTAATAAATTGCCGAATGTAGGAATAATAGCCTACTATAATTTAATATCATGTAAAATCTCTACATTGTAGATAGTCTACGTAAAAATGTTGGACAAAAAAGGCCAAAATTTTTTTAAAAACGTTTTTTTTTATTATTAATATTGTATTTTCAAACTTATGCATTTATTCTTTATAGTCTCTTTCTTTCATGGCTTACGCCAATGTTTGGTTTTTGATTCTCTATCCAGATGTACATGATCTAACTTGATCATGATTGATCCTGAACCGACTGAGTATTACGGGATATCCGCATAACCGACACCGCTCCATGGAACACACATATAGCCGACCAAATATCAAAATGACAAAATTGTTTATATGTTTAAAGCAAATATAAGCTTTAAATTTTTTTATTATAAATTGAGGTATTGAGGTCAATATGATTTAGTTCCATATCTGCATCGTGTATATTCCGATATTCATTACGATTAAATTCATGTTCTAGGTTCGATTCTCGTACAATACAAACATTTGTATTCATATATTTACGAAAAAAATTCAGTATTTATGTCAATTGTCTAATACCTACTATAATACAAGCTCTGCTAAGTCTGGCACCAGATGGCGCTTTGTAATATTTTCAAATATTAATAACGTTATAAACTGCATGTTTCAACTTCATAAATTATAATTATTAGTTCATCTTATAAAAAACATTGTTAATCTCTTTAAAATGAGAATTTTTGGTATGAACACATTACATAACTTTATAATCCGCGCGCTTAATCTGTTGTAAAATAGCACTTTAAGCCTACAAATGCCATACCATAAAAAGTGGGCACTACTAATTTTCCGCCACAAAATAATCGAGCTTCGATCTAACACCTTAAATTAGGATTTGGAGGGTTTCCTTTTCACTACGAATTCAGCCGAACACTCCTATAGTCGTATAATTGTCGTGTGGACGTAACATGTCTTGAGATCAACTCGTGAGCAACCATCTTAAAACGTTCACTTCGAACACGGAATGTTGTTTTGTTCCCTCATTGTAATACACTTGGTTTCGCTGGTGAGCCTGAAACAATAAAAAATAAAATAAAAATATTTATTTATATTTAAAATATTTATTAACAAATATTGAGCACTTATAATTACTATCATCGCTATATCAGCCTTTAACTGTTCACTACTGAACAAAAGCCCCTCCTTGGGGGGTTTTGTTAGTAGTTGCCATGCTTGGCAAACGGATTGGCAACCGCAGTCAGGCTTTAGAGATGTTTTAAGAGAGACGCTGCTGCCCATCCTTCGCCCTCCCTTAGTCGGCTCTTACGACACGGGGGGGAAAGAGTTTGTTAGAAATGGGGATTAGTAATCCTATTACTAGCAATATCTAGCTAGCTCTATCAGATCGACCTCCTCGCGGTTCCCCCTGAAACCATTGTGATTAATTCATTAGTGAATGTGTCACGATGGGCTAACTGACCTATGTCATCCTAACCTATCATCCCTCACTGGTGCCCCGCCAGTGTATACCGATAGCGCAGGTGGGGTTACCAATCCATTATCACCCATTAAAAGGCTCTTACGACACGGGATAGGAAGGGGTGCTTAATCTATGCTGGGACCACACGGCTAAATACGGCTATAATTACTATAATGACTTTGAATTTCAGGTCTATTCACGATGGGATAACTGACGTGCTTTTATTCTCACCTATCATTCCTTACGGGTGCAACGTCAGCGAATACCGTTAGTGTGGGCGCGTCTACCATTTCATTATCATCCATTAAAAAAACTATAATAAGTTTAAATGGCTACTATACTACTAAAAATAACCCATATGCTTACACAACAAATAATAATACTGAAACTTTGCGATAAAAATCTTAAATATATAATACATTTGTAACTAAGCGATGTCTGTATAAGAGATATTTAAGCCAAATAAGAATAATATAGAAGCCAAAACAATGATTTTTAGAAATTTTGTCTGCCTGTATCTGTTTGTTCAGGCGCAGGCAAAAACTACTGTACTAAATTGAATGCTGTTTTCACTGTTGTATTCCTAACTGAGGTTTAACTTAAAAACTAGTGTATGTGTTATTTCAATACACCATCCGGAAGTGGTTTAAATGATTGATTTTTCAGCTAGTTAGTATATAATGCATTTTACGAATTTATTTATCATGATTATTATCATTGTGTTATTCCGATATTAAATGCTTTGTTACAAGCGTGCAGTCTGCTTAAAGTGGCGACCAATTTTATAGATAGATACATTATTGTTTACGCGTGCATGAATTAGTAAGAGACAACATCTCGTACCTATTTCGTTTTTATTAATATGGTAACCAGACCATGTCTATCGTTTGTTTTTTACTGGGAGCAACTCATAGGTAACTAGTAATGGAGTACTCAAACTAGCCTCATTGTTAGGAATATACCTCGTCAGGTAGACCTCCTCGAGGTACTCCCTAGAAACCGTCGTGGGTATTTCATAGAATCCGTCACGATAGGCTGAACTGACTTCATTCTCACCTATCATCTTTTACTAGTACCCCGCCAAGGTAAACAATAAGCTTAAAACTTTTATTAATTTATCATCCATTAACAAGCCTCCCTAGATAAGTGACAAAGGACTATTTCACGTCGACTAAAATTATAGAACGCGTGTGTATAATAGCCACAGTCCATCTTAATTGTGACTACAGCTGCTGAAGAACCGAACACTCATAAAGATATACTGGGCGAAATAATTAGCGGTATATAAAAACTACCCGTGTTATAGACACAATTTATATATCGTGTGGTCCTAGCATAGAATGAGTTACCACTATCTGTTAAGTGTCGTTAGTGGTGATTAAGGTAATTTAATGATCGGTGGATAGGCGAGAGCGTTCCTTTTAAAATATCACCAAAGACTGCTAACCCGCCTGCCAAACGTAGCAACTACTGGTAAAACCCCCCTACCTTCAGCGGTGGTGAATGATGATGATAATTAATCTAAAGTTACTAGTCTTTGGCAACTGCTAATCGAATTACTTCAATCCTCGACTTAAGGGATCAGTGATGATTATTCTCAAAATGAAATTAAATTAAATGAATGATTTAAAATGAAAGATTTTTAACGTTTAATTTAACGATTTCAACTATAATTATGGTAAGTATCCTATTCATAAAATATGAAGTTGTAAAAGTGATGTAAGTTTAAAACCGTAGCACGCACATGGGCGTGACGTGTTTGTGTTTACTACTGTTTCCCATTGACCTGTCTCCCATTAAACTAGGCAAAAACAATAGGTACGTCAAACGTTCCTAACAAATACAATAATAACTCATTGTTTCTTATCTTATCCAAATTAATAAGGAATAGATTATCTATTCCTTATTAATTTTCATCATAATACAATTGATTATTGTGAGTAATTAAAAAAAACCCAATTATTATATGTAGCGAATGTAATTATAACATTGTGGAAGTAAACAATTTTTAATCTCAGTTACATGACTTGTCATATTTAGTCAATTATTTTGGCATATATTTTAATCGAAATAAAAAAGCATAAAATAAAATAAACATATAAAATTATATATGTGTTCATATTAGCTTTTTTTACATATTATATTAATATGTTAGTAAAAGCAGTAAAGTTCGAGGTCAGAAATTAGTCGGGCAGTCCCGAAGTTAAACCGTGAGTAAAAATAAACAATTATTACTCAACAAAAGCTAGAATGTTGCCAGAAAAATAGAACTGTAATCATATGGGATTTTGTAAGTGCCCGCTTATAATAAAAATGTAAACTTAACACGTACTACATATATCGTCATAGTCGTAGAATACTGACGGATCGACTATATATGTAATCTTTGTCAGATCCGTCAGTATTCTGCAACTATGACGATATAAGTGTACAGATGAATACTGTTTATAAATGATATGGACAAATACACATACAGCCAAAAATAATTTTTGAAAAAAATATAGACAAACGTAGCTGCGCTAGATATACAGTGAAAAACAGAATAACAATATTACAACTCATATAATTTTCAGTACAGTTCATACATATTACATAATCAAAGTAGATGCCGTTATAGATAATTAAAAAAAAAAATACGTAAACTAATAAAGTCGTCAACTGGGCGCTAGATAGGATCTTGATAAGATATTCAATAATTGTTTTTGACTTCATAACAATAAAATACAATTACATTAAAATATCAGAAAGGGAACATGGCGGTGTTATCTCTAAAGGCGATCTTACTAGTAACCTTTGGATGGAGAGGAATTATATGTAATCTTGGCATGTAATAAACTTACTCGCAATAAACAGCTCGTAAAGTTGGTAAGTACTAACCTCGTAAACAAAACGCGTCGATAAATCTATATCACATAAAATGAAATAAATGTACTCGATTTCATCTAGTGAGATATTTATCGTTTGCGAGGGGAACATAGAAATGATAGATGTCAGAAAAAGAATTAAATTTATATTATATATATGAAGTCCACGTTGTAGACACATTGATGTATTCACTAATAAGCGCGGCGGCTTGGATCTTCATTTAAAAAAGTTCAATCATCTAGTCGTTCCTCAATGGGGTTTACAAGTAATCTTCTTATAATAAGAATAGAGTTGTTATTGTATATGTATTAATTTTATTACTTTTTTGTGGAGCAACATCTAAAACTGTTTTTAAATTTTTATCAATCATAAAATAATAATAATTATTATTAGGTATTTAAATATTTTAAATAGATAGATGAATGTGGAGGAAACGAAAGAGATGTATTTGAATCGAAGCATTTGGCGTTCAATTGTTTTTGTCTTCTCTGATGGGAGATATATGTGACGTGTGTGTATGTATAATAATTTATTGTTCTCTGATGTTCATAAAAGGTCGTTGTATTACCTGGCGGCGTAGTGATCGCTGGTGCTGAAGAAGTCACCGGCGCCGCAGTAGTTGTCGTCGTCGTGGACGTTGCGACAGGAGCCGGTGTACTCGTTGACTTCTGTAACGACACAATAATAACATTATTACATTGTATTGTTTCTATGACATGAAAATAAAATAGTTCTCTCGTGCTACCTGTTAATATTGCCAGTTTTAAACATAAGGGACGTAGTTACATGCAGTCTTTCAGAAGGGATAAAATTAATAAAATTTTTGTTCTTAATGCCAATTTGTATGTACAATAGCTGTAAAAGTACATTCTTTATTATGTAGAGTGTATACTTTTAATCTAAATACTAATATAAACTAGTTATTGTGTATTGTATGTTCAAAATAATTTTTGCATGTAAAATACGGCCCTATTGTTAAAAGGCCACGGTATACGCTAACCCCCTTATTCATAAAAATGTTAAACCTCTCGTAAACCTATTTTAGCTATTGAACTATCTCTTTGTCTCTTTCATTTGTACTAAATTCTCAGTATGAATGAAAGTGACAAAATAGTATAAATCTGTTTAGTTTAGGAGGTAGTTTTTATAAATAACGGCGTTAGAATGTATGCCGGTTTAATTTAAAGCCCGCAATATACGCTGACGCGATACCCCTGAGGGAAGGAATATTAAGTGAGGATGAATTCAGGTCAGTTGGTCGATTGTAATTAATTCACCAGAATGGTACCACGACAGATTCTAGAGGGATTAATGCGGAGGTCAACCTGTTAGGATATGTACATTGCTAGCATTGAGGCCGTTAGACCCCATTACTAACAATCCTTTCGAACCCCTATTAATTAATAGTGTTCATGATACAGTCTGCGAATATAATAGATATTTATTCACAGATAAATTGTCTTTTGATGTTAATCTTGTCTTCGGCGTACATTTTAATACGGTCATAATAAAGTATAAAATTCCGATGTTTTAAAATCGAATAACGGCAAACAGCGGTTATCAGTATCCGATATAAAACGCAAAGCCATAAAAACATTATAATTTCATTTTTTCCTTCACGTAACCTAATACATAAACAGCTGATAAGTTTTTAGTTTGATTACAATACGTAATGGCATACACATGTGATTTGAAAATTAATTTCAAAATTTCATATATTATAATGTTACAAAAATGATTTTGTACTGTGTGGACTGCCGTACGGTGAGCGTAGACTGTAGGGGCGTTGGTTCAGGCTGGAGTGAAACACAGGGATTACTATTCTGAAGCCTCCGGTACCGTCTGAAGAGAGTATTTTTTCTTCTTGTCCTATTTCTTCTCGAGTGTAGTGTGTCGCTGCCCGGAAGCGAATGCCGCTCGTAGGTATTCTCCGCACGTAGCCGTATAAAGGGGACGTGGGGGGTATAGCAGCCCGGGGCGTTTGCCCCCTTCTGCTGGTGTCTCTCGCCGCACATTACCATGTGCAGGGTAGTTGGGGGTGGTACTTGCCGGTGGTTTTCATAGGAACGCACTAAGGTTCACTTGTAGACTGTTGGCGCCGTCTGGGCCGGTCGGCGCGGTCTTCGCCTGCCAGGTGAGACCCCATGGGGGAGGCCCGGCAAACTGCCAGCGCAAGAGCGGCCCATGACGACGGCGCCACGCGCTTCTACACTATGGGACCGTGCCTTCTTCTTCTGCTTCGCGCGAGCGGGTGAGTTCGCGCGCGTATGGCTTCATCTCCGGCGGTCTAGCGTGCAGAGGCGCTATGCCTCTGAGGTGGTCCCATTTTGATGCGTCCGCGCGCTGGAACAGTCTAGTCGCTAGTTCTTTCACGTGTGCGTCCAGTGGCTGGATTTTGAGGTCCCTCTCCAGGGTGGCGTTTCTGACGAACTTATGCGCACCGGTCAGGGTACGCAACGTCAGGTGCTGTTGTGCTTCTAATGCTCTTCTGTTTGTCTTGCCGACGAATGCGTACCACGCCGGCGCGGCATAAGTTAGACGCGGGCGGATGTACGTTTTATAAATTCCCGTCTTCATCTGGAGAGGGAGGTTTCCGACGAGTACCGGACGCAGCAGGTGCCTGGCTGTTCTAGCCTTCTGGCGAACCTTCTTGACGTGCGTTCCGAAAGTCAACCGGCGGTCGATTTCCACCCCTAAGTAGGTGGCGGTGCGGGACCACTCGATCGGGGAACCGAGCAGGCGTAGCTGTGGTGGCGTCCTTTTCATGTTGGCTGTGATCGCCTGTGTCTTGCGCACGTTCACCGACAGGCGCCATTTTCCCAGCCATTCTGGCAGGGCATCTAGTACAGTTTGAAGTTTTGACGCCGCGTGCTTATTGTTCAGCGACGTCGCGGCGTAGGCTGCATCGTCGGCGTAGAGCGCCAGTGTAGTCTGCTCCGTGGTTGGGATGTCGTCGGTGTACTGCGCATAAAGCACAGGCGATAAGCAGCTGCCTTGCGGGACGCCCGCTCGGATGAGACGCTCACCCGAACAGGTTTGTTCAACCGCCACCATGAACCGACGATTCCTGAGAAATGAGGCTACCACTTGGATGAGCCTTCTTGGCATTTCTGTCTGGGTGGCCAACTTGTACAGCAGACCGTCGTGCCAGACCCTGTCAAAGGCTTTCTCCATGTCGAGGAATACTGCTACGGCGACTTCCTTCTTGTTGATGGCCGTTGTGAACACGTGCAGTATCCTGATCAGCTGCAGGGTGGTGGAGTGCTCAGCTCTGAACCCGTATTGCTCTTCTCTGGGCTTGATGTATGTGTTTATGTGTTTGAGAAGTAGTCTCTCAAACACCTTCGATACATGCTGTAACAACGTGATTGGCCGGTACGATTCCGGTTTCAATACGTTCTTACCGGGCTTAGGCAGCGTGATAACTTTGCCTATCTTCCATGTGTTTGGGAAATGCCCTGTGCGCATAATACCATTGTACAGGCGTGTAACTGCCGCTATAGTGCGCGGCGGCAGGTGGTGCAATGCCGTATTCGTGATATTATCGCTGCCGGGGGCCTTCCGAGGCTTCGTTTTTCTTAATTCACGCTGCACTTGTCCCGGCGTAAACACCACCGGGTCTTCGTGTGGCGCTAGTGGCGGAGCCAGGTAGTTTTCAACGTATTTAACTACCATGGCAGCATGTTCGGTATCGGTAACCGGGTTCGGCTGGAACTGGCGTTCTAGGTGTTCTGCTAGGATTTCCACACGGTCTGCTGCACGGTATCTCGGCGTCCCATCGCTCGCCAGTAGTGGTCGGACCGGGGGCTGGGATTGGGACAGCCGGCGGCATAGGCGGTGGATGCTATTCCAGTCGTCGCCGGCGTCTTCCAATAATCGATCCCAGCTTTCCTTCCTGTGGGACTCAATGTCTCGCCTGATGTCTTCGGCGAGTTTGTTCAACCTCGTCTTGAGGGTGGGGCAACGTGTCGACTGCCAGTCCCTACGCAATCGGCGCTTCGCTTCTAGTTTCATCCTGGTGGCAGCCGGGATCCACTCGCGGGTCCTTGTTACAGGTCCCGGCTGCGCTGCGATGTCCATGGCGTGCTGTATGGAGACTGACAGGTTAGCAGCGAGTTCTTCGACTTCATTCGAGGTTGAGACTGCCATCATGGGCGTGTTGTGCTCCATCGAGTCCCTGAATTTCACCCAGTCGATCCGACGGCGTGGGAGGCGCGGCGTCAGGAATGTCGGTGTTTGTGGAATAACCATGCACACCGGCAGGTGGTCGGATTGGATGTCCTCGAGGAGGACTTCCTGCGTCGGTTGGCTGTTTAGTCCTTTGTATAAGGCGAAGTCCAATACGTCTGGAGCATGTGCTGAAATGTAGGGATAGTGAGTTGGAACCTCAGGGCCGAGCACGGTGATATCCATTCTCTCAGCTATCCCTAGTAGTGCTTTTCCTTCTGGCGTGTCGTTGTTGGAGTTCCAGGCCGTGTGTTTGCAGTTCCAATCGCCTGCGGCGACAGTGAGCAGCTGCGAATCGAAGATGACGGCGACGTCTGCGGCTGCAATCCTGTTCTGTGGTGGTTTGTATACTGCAAACACACGGATGGGGCTTCTATCTACGCATAGCTCAACACCGAGTGCGTACATGGATGTGAGATTCACCCGAGGGAGCGGTTGATGCACTACGTTCCTTTTCACCAGGACAGCCAACCCGCGATATGCCTTCTGGCCGTCCGTAATCTCGTCCTGTCGGTATGCATGGTATCCTGGAATGCGGAGTGTGTCGAGAGCTCCCAGTAGTGTCTCAGAAATGAGACACACGTCGACACGGTACTCCATAAGCAGCGTCCGGAGCAGGGTTGTCTTCTTGCGGACCCCGTCCGCGTTCCAGTGCAGCAATCTTAGTCCCATTTAGTGTTGGACAGCCTCGCCATTCCTGCGGTGATCGCCGGTACTGGGTCCGATCCGGCTTGCACCGCAAGTAGCACCTCCATCAGGATGGTGAGCATAGTTTTCACCATGTCTGCCGTGCTTGTGTTGGTGGGGGTGGTGGTGGTGGTGGTGGAGGTGCTGGTTTCTTTAGCACGCTTCGCCATCTTCCCCTTGCTGGCGACTTGTGTCTGTGCTGCCTGTGTTGTAGGTACGGCAGCGGCGGTTTTTGTTGGGGCTGCAGTTGCTGCATCAGTTGTCGCGTCAGCATCGAGGGCGGCGACCGCTGGCGGGCGTGTGGTGTAGATGCTGCGTGCGGGGGCCTGCTCCGCGGACCCGGAAGCATTTTTCTTTTTTGTCGCTGTTGCCTCTGTTTTTCCTCCCCTCTTTCTCCTCTTCTGAGGCGGTTTCCGCGACCGCTCTGTTGCCGGATTGGCCGGGGCCATTAGGTTGCCCCTGTCCGCGGCTGTGGGGACTGTGCGGTCTTTGTGCGTTGATCTGGAGCGAGTTCTGGCGGTGGCTCCTGCCTTTCGGTTTCTTATCTCCCTCTTGAAGACCGGGCAGGAGACGCTGTTTGCCGTGTGCTTGTCCCCACAGTTGGCACACGTCGGAGGCTCTTCTCGGGGGCGCGGACAGTCGCGCGCCGTGTGCTCTTCGCCGCAGCGGACGCAGGCAAGTTTTCTGTGGCACCCGTGCGAGGAGTGCCGGAAGCTTTGGCACCTATGGCACTGTGCCGGGCCTTTTCGTCCCC